CAGAAAAATTTTGACCGACTCCAGAAAATTTTGAACTTTGCCGCTAGAGTGATCTTCGGACGGCGTAAGTTTGACCACGTCTCGGACCTGCGTGACAGACTTGGCTGGCTATCACCAAAATCCATGTCAGATTACCTGACACTCACGATCGCGCAAAAGGTCATTAAGCATGAAGAGCCCGAGAACCTCGCTGCACTGTTCGTCCCTAACCAAAATTTTCGAGACAGGCACACACGGCAGGATCATCTCCTTCATCTTCCCCGACCGAGGCTTGAAACTGGAAAACGGCGTTTTGAGTACCGTGCCGCGGCGCTATTGAATAGCCTCCCACCCCAGGTAGTGCAGCTGCCACCTGCCAGCTTCGCCCGGTCTGCCAGGGCCGCGCTGATTAACAAATCCCCGCTACGCCGCTGACGAGTCTGTTTAGTAGTAGGCAGGGCATGCCGCCAATTGGTGGACGATCTGTTTGTGCTTATGTATATATATGTTACAGGCAATGTGTGGAATCAGGCATTCTATAGAATGCCTAGGCATTCTATAGAATGCCTGACCGACCAGGCATTCTATAGAATCCCTAGGTATTCTATAGAATCCCTGACTGCTTAGGCATTCTATAGAATGCCTGGCTTAAGCTCCCAGGCATTCTATAGAATGCCTAAGTATTTTGATTGTCCGAAACACACTTCGAAAATTAGGGGTCAGTGGCAGTAATGCTATTTGTTTACCTAATTTTCATTGTTGGCCTAGGCCGGTCGTCACCTCACACCATTTCAGGGCAATGAGCTGAGAGGAAGCGAGGGAGGTATTGGGCTATGCCGACCACCAAATGGTGCGCCGCAAGCAGCAGCTGATCCAATTCCGTTGGCACGGGAGAGCCACGGCGCAAGGCACGCGGGAGAGTCACAGGCCAGCCAGTCGCTTAAACGGTTACCCTCGGAGGATTATGCTGCTACAGATACGAAGCTGCCTTAGAAGAGTGTTGGCTGGGAGGGTGGACCGTAGGCTTGAATCGAAAGTGATTGGGAATGACGATGGCTTTGTTCTGATGTTAGAAATGAAGGTGAAAAATACACCAAAGGTCACATTTTATGTCGTCATAAGCACTTCGTGTAACGACTCTCAATATGCATACATGGACAGCTCAACCTACACTGTAATGTCAGGGAATAACCTGAATAAATGGTTCATTATTCCACGTCTGGGCGGTGGCCCGGCCGTAACAAGAGCCGGATTAGGTGTTGTTCGATCTCCCCTTCCAGCTTGACTTCTGGGCCATGTGGTATTCGAAAGGTCGTCAAAGACTCAAAATTATGAAATTTTACTTCAGTTCTTCTTTGGCAATGTCCGAAAGGGTGCCATTTCTAAAACAAATAGCTAAGCCATTTTTTAGGTCAGCCCAATTTGTGTCCATTTTTGGCTCGTAGCCGTTTTCTCCAGTTTGACCTTAAATCAATTCCTTAGAAGGCAAACACCTCCAAAAATGGACGATTTGTCAGTTTTTTTTCTGTGTATTTTTTTTTTTACCAAAGGCGTTTCCGATATTGACATTACCACCATCGTCTTTCTAGCGTTAAGATAAATATTAAATACTCTGTACTCTCAGAATGAAATCCTGATACAATTTGACCTAATAAGGTCAGATTGAATACCTGACCGGAAAATTTGACTGAATGAACATTTGACTGAATGAACATAAATAGCTGAACGCAAGGTAGCCTGGCAGAAAATAATAATGTTACATGTCGGTCTGTGCTCATAATCTTATACAACATACACTTATATGTTGGAAAGATTCGTGTATTTCCTAGGCATTCTATAGAATGCCTGAAAATCAGGCATTCTTTAGAATGCCTAGGGATTCTATAGAATCCCTGGTGGGTCAGGCATTCTATAGAATACCTAGGGATTCTATAGAATGCCTGGTCGGTCAGGCATTCTATAGAATGCCTAGGCATTCTATAGAATGCCTGATTCCACACATTGCCTGTAACATATATATTGTTTGTCTTGTGTACATATGTATATGATTATTGTCGCGACCCCCATCGATGGATGACTGTCGTCTAGTGCTGAGTGTTCTTCCCCCTGCCCGCATGATTGTTACCCATTATACTCGGATCTAAGCCGTAATCGCCACGCCATATGTGGAAGGCTTTTGGTGTCAATACATACATACATACATACATACATACAGCTGCCTGCCGGATCAAAGAGTATCTCAAGGCACCTCTTACCTGCCAGGCATGGAATTCAGAAATCCCGAATTACTTGGCATCTGCAAGATGCACATTGCACACACACACGCGCCTATTGATTCATGTATTTTAAAGTGTTTTACTTCTTGTGATGGTGTGCTCAGCTACTCCAGCTGTTCTTGCACAATATATTTTTGTATTGCCCTATATAACAGTTGATCTCTATTCTCTTCTCAGTCCGCTCTTCTCAGTCTATCTCTCGATGTGCCTGGTGGCGATGGCATCGTCCCTACTCAGTAGTCCCTATAGCATCTTATCGATCACCTGCGTTTAGCACTCGGCGTCGTTCCCCGGCCGTTCAGAAGAGCCCGTTGTTCTCCCGTTGTCCGACTCCAGCTGTCACCATGTGTCGCACATCCATTGATGACGCTCCGCGTCCGCCTCTAAGGAAAGCCTAACGGGGCCGGGCGAGCGGGCGCTCGGCAGCGCAGCAGAAATAGCCCGCCCCGAATGTCATTTGTCGCTCACAGCACTCATTAATTCGGCCGCTCTCACAGCAAAGGCAGCCGCAAAGTTAGGAAGTTGGCTGGCTCCAGGTGCGCCGACCAGATTATTCATCAGTGTCATTTATTCCATGGGAAAGTTAATGAAATTTCGTTGCATAGCATTGTCGGCAGATAAGCAAAGGGTCACGGTTTGGCGACCCTTCAGCAAGCATTTACTTCAGCACGCCACTGTTTGCTGGCCTGGGGCACAGAGGCAACGGAAGTTCACGGAGCTGTTGTGTTTATTTTACGAACATTATCATAAAGCATACCAGGTCGTCGCTGAGGTCACTGAAGGTCATCAAAGATTTGAGTCAAATTTTACCATCATTGTGTTTCTCTTGGCGATACGCATCGAATGAACTATACTAAAGTTGACCTGGAAAAGTCACTTGTGAAACTGTGCACCCAAAACTAAACCTAGTCAGTTAAACTTTATTGCTTGTCCATTATCAGCACCATATTCAGTTAGCACGGCTTGGTGCAGCATTGTCTTCCTATTAGAGTCATGTTTAGCCAATATGGTCCTACATCATCACACGAAGCGTTTGTCGGCTCCTCGGCGGCGATATGACGGTCATCTATGTACTTATTGGTCTCGTGTAGAATCATTCAGAAATTGGGGTCTACATTAAAACTTCGATGAGATGTCGTTTTATTAACCCATGGTTATACAAAGTTCAAATGAATATTCGATGTTCATCTATTATCATCAAAGCGAAGAAAAATATCAATGGACCTTTCACATTTCATTTTGCATTCAGATGTCTTTTACATCAGACCAGATGTAACGCACACGGTATCGACATGTAGACGAAGAGTCGCCTCGTTTCAATAAAGAAACCCAATTTGCAAACTAAAGTGGCTGCCGGCGACTCTGACAGATCCCGGGAGTGTTCAGGGACTCGGGCGTAGCAAATATGTACGGCTCATCGCTCGGTCGTGACTTGGAAAATATCTCTGTAGCACATACCACGAACCAGTCTGAATAACAGACATTTATCTCTTGGAGGCAGCAGCGGTAAGGAACCAGACACGCCACCTGAGTCGCACTGTTGTTGGTTCTGTACGCTCCCTTGTCTTTACTTACGAATAGTTGTGCTTATAAGCTTCATAACATTATGCCCCGCTCAGTGCCCAGAGTCCGTCCGTTCCTTTGCTCCAGCCACGTTTGGGCAGTGGAAGGTGCAGCCGAGCAAAGCGATGAGCGGCTCAACACTGCCCACAAATTTGGCATTATTAGCAACAGGAAAATATGAGAAGTATTTCGTAATTAATGTGTGGCAGGGATGTAGTTTCAAAAGTGACGTTACTTATATGGTTTTAGCAACGACGGTCCGTGACCATTTATTTCTCCCGGTAAACTATTTCCAATAGTTCAACTGATCGTTCTTTTAGAATCATATCCCATTGTTAATCAAAGGCTAGATAAAATCAATTCGAAGGCTGGAGCATAGACAACATGAATTCATGTTATCCATGGTCAAGGCTATTTTTAAAGAACAAGATGTTTGCTTTCATTGGCCGTTTTGAAATGCTAATGGAAAATCTGTGTTGAGACATACCCATGCAAACGTTCATATTCCAAATCGATGTTCCCTGTTCATGTACAATGTTTGGGACCGTGCACAATGTGAGGTTCGTCGTTCCATGTCAGCTCCAGGAGGCGGTTTGTTGCTCCCGCGGCCCGTAATGTATGATAAATAGTTTTGTCTATTCTCATCTGACGTTGGTGGTCCATGTTATGAGAAGACGTGACTTGGTGAGGTATACGATATGGATACCAACTATGGCGCCAGGCTGCAGTGACCGGTACAGATACACTCTCCAGAGACCGATGCTTTAGTGCCGCTCTGCAGTGACCGATACCGGTACTATAGCGCTAGTCTTCAGTGACCGATACCGGTACTATAGCGCTAGTCTGCAGTGACCGATACCGTACCCATAACTTGTCGATACCCTACCGAACTTACATATACCGAACTGATGCTTAAACTGATACCGATACCGTGTCATTGCGATACCATACCGAACTGATACCGAACTGATACGGAACTGATACCGAACTGATACCGATGCCGTGTCATTGCGATGTCAATACCGTACCGAACTGATGCCGAACTGATACCGATAATGTATCGATTCCGTTGCAGTGACCGGTACTGACACCGTGTGGATTATGTGCCGAACTGATGTCCGGATACGGTGTCCGGATACCGTGTGGATTCCTCTGCTGACGCCACTCTCCGCCCCGTTCCAGACGGAGCCCTCAGCCTGGATACGATGGAGTCGGCGGCGCTGCGTGCCGGGTACGACGGCGCCGCCGTACCGCCGCTGCAGCCCTGCGCGGTGGGCCGCACCCCGCCGACACCGACCGCCGGTCAGCTCTCGCCCCTGGCCGAGCCAGCCGGACCCCAGCAGGGCTCGCCGGGGCCGCCGCCCGGCGCCGACGGCCCCTTCTCGCCGGGCGGCGGGCCGCTGCGCCAGCTCTCCGGCGGCTCGCCCGACCAGTACTCGCCCATCACGGTGACCACCTCCCCGGCCGAGTACTCGCCGGCCGGCACCGGGCCCTCGTCCGTGGGCCAGTACTCGCCCATCAGCAACGCGCCCACGCCCGCCCAGTTCTCTCCGATGGGCGTGGCGGGGCCGGCACAGCAGTACTCACCGCCGCCGTCCATCGCCCGGTCGTCGAGCCACCAGTACTCGCCGCCGCTGTCTGTGAGCCGCTCCCTGAGCCAGCAGTACTCTCCGCCGCCCCCAGCCGGCAGATCGCCCAGCCAGCAGTACTCCTCGCCCCTCCCGGCCACCCGGTCCCCGGGCCACGAGTACCCCGCGGCGCTGTCCGCCGCCCGGTCACCCAGTCAGCCGTATCCCTCTCCCCTTCCGGACTCCAGGCCGCCGAGCCAGCAGTACTCTCCGCCGCTGCCCACGGAGAGAGCTCCCAACGAGCCGTACTCGCTGGGTTCTGTATCCATCACCAGAGTCCCCAACCAGCAGTACTCCTCTCTGCCAGCGCCGGGGACCTCAAACCAGCAGTACTCCCCGACCCACCCGCTGGCCAGGTCGGCCAACAAAGACTACTCGCTGTCTCTGCCGATAGCCAGATCATCCAGCCAGCAGTACTCGCCGCCGCTCTCGGCTGCCAGGTCGCCCAGCCAGCAGTACTTTCCACCACTCTCGGTTGCCAGAACGTCTGGCCAGCAGTACTTCCCGCCGCTCTCGTCTGTCGGCTCTGGGGGCGAGCAGTACCCGTCCCACATGTCCATGAGCCGGGCGGCCATGCTGCAGTCTGCCATGCCTCTGGCCGTTTCCCGGTCGCTGAGTCAGTTCTACTCCCCGGACACGGTGGCCGACTGCGGCCCGTCCGTGTTCGCTCCTTCCACTTCGGCCGGGGGCGCCGGCACGCCGTGCTACGGCGCCGCTCTGCTGCCCATGTGAGCCGCCGCGGCGCGGCCGCCGGCGCCCCCTGAGCCTGCGAGTCGCGCGTGTTAACGACAAGCGTCCACTCGCAGCGCCCCGGCGCGGCTCGGCCCCAGCGTCCAGCCCGCCCCGCTGTCCTACCGGCACCGCCGGGTTCCAGCCGCGCGGATCCCACCGGTACAATTGGATCCCAGTTGGATCCCGCCGGTACAGACGGATCGCAGTTGGATCCAACCGGTATGGTTGATCCCAGTTGGACCCCACCGGTACACTTGGATCCCGATTGGAACCCACCGGTGCTGTTGGATCCCAGTCGGATCTCACCGGTGCTGATCCCACCAGCTCGTTTCCGCCGCGCTGCCCGATCCCGTCGGCACAGTTAGTTTCCATCGCCGCTGTCAGATCCGCCAGCGCGGTTCGACTGTCCAGTGCAATCTGAGCTAATGCGCTGTAGCTACGTGTCGTGCTGATTGAGGGTCACCAGCAGATCAAATTGTCCAGGCAACATTTCATTATATCGCCGATATGTGAATTAGAGGCTGGCTGTCTCCGATAGGCCATATTTTACGCAGGCCAGTCAGCCATGCAGTGTTGAGACCTCATAATGTTTACCAGCCTGCGGTAATCGGGGGACATTTGAACTTCTATCTGATCGCACCTGAGCTCAATGAACTTATGCATGCTACAACATTATTTTACCAAATTTTCTTTGGACTTTACTCAATTATTGCTCATCCAGCGGGCTGCAGAGCCGGCTCAATCTGTGCTCAAGTCACACAGGTTCCCCCAGCCCCCCCCCGCCCCCTCCTCCCCTCACGTTCCACTTTGATCCGCGCACTTTGCAGCCCACACTGATATTGCTTTTTTCGACAATCAGTATGAGTCGGTACATACAGGGTGGGGCAGCATAATCGGGAATGCTTTTTGGGCTCTGGTCATGAGTAGGCATGGCATTATTTTGATAAATTATATCATGGCAATGAAACGCCCAAAAGTTGTGCATCATCTGACATGACTACATCCATGAGCATGCAACTTCCTGGAAAAGAGCAGCAAAATAGTTCGACGGTGCTCCAAGTGCTTTGCGCGCGCCCATAGACACTAATGTTAAACGAGTAAAACAAGAACATTTTGTTTAAAACAATGCCATTCTACGTAAAGGTTGCTGGACAGGTCAACGTGTTATCACGGACGATAAGGATTGTGTGGGGATACTTAGGACAAAAAGTTAACGTAATCGTCGTAAAATAACTCTTAGCAGAGGACATACAAGATGACTCACTTGAATATAAGAAAGAAGCTCTTGAGCATATTAAAAAGAAACAATGTTCAAAACTTCAGCGACCAAAAATCTTATCACCGACTGGAATACGATAAAAAAGAATGGCATGCCATATAGGGGATTGTATCGAGAATATTGCAGCGGTCATGCAAAGTAAACATCCTGTTGAGGTGATGGACCTATGGGTGGTCTTCAAGGGAGGTGCACGTGGTGCACCCTACTTCATCGAGCCCGGATAAAACGAGCACCTCTGGTAAATACATCCACACTCTGGCAGACTCACGTGGAGTCGTCGGAAGAGAGGATCACTGACGGTCCAGATCACGTCTTACGAGGACTCTGTCCGTGCTGGTACTGCAGTGAGGACGACATGTTATTGTGTAGGGCACCTCCACCTGAGATGAACCAAAAACTTCTGGTCCTTCAACTCCGCCGATTTAAATCCGACCAAATTCTTTATATGGAGCGTTTTTTGGTAGAAGTTTAATGAACAACTTATCATCAGTAAAAACGGTCTTCAGTGCAAGGTACGAAGCTGATGGGCGATCATGGACAAGCAGGAGGCTGCACGTGCATGCGCGTGCTTTTGGACCCGCCTTGAGAAGGTCATCGACGCGAAGGGCGGTCAAATAGGATGAGGGATAGGTAAAAGGTGACCGATTGATGGGATGTTGTTAAAATAGTGCTTGGAGCTATATTTTTAAATTCATGACCAAATAATCCCGGTTGATATTTATTCCCGATTATGCTGCCCCACCCTGTATAGCCAATTATGATAAGACGATGTAGCGATCGATACAGCCCTGTTTCCCTAGAAATGGTCACACCGGTCTTACCATGGCAACCTTTTACAACAGTGCGGGGTCGGTGTTCTTTGACGCGTTTCCCGTCGTCGGCCAGCGTATTGACTCGCCGCTATTTCTGGTAGTCGTTCAGTGTTCAGGCCAAATTCCGGCCGCCGGCTCAGCCTCCGGGGCTTATGACCGTCGCATTACCGGTAAATGTCCAGGCTGCTGGGTATGTGGTGTTGGTTGTCGTTTTGCTATAGATAATGTCAGTTGGGACACTGGATACAGCGGAAATCGGAGACGCGATCAATGCATTTGATGAGGCTGGACAATTGCCGTATATATGTAGTTGTAATTGAGATAGACTGCGTGAAAAGGAGCAGTTTTTATTAGGCTTTTCGTATTAACCGCGCTGAAAGCCAAACTATGAATGAAAACAGAGCACATGTGTTCAATTATTTCACGGCGACAATACCTGAAATGACGTCAGAAGTCTGTCCATGATGGGTTTATGTTTCGTTTGACAAGAGCTGCGTCTGCTGTCCCTTCCCTTGGAGCAAAAAGTCTGCTTATTCTAGACGTGCTGGTACTTTTTTGTGCACTGCGATTAAGCGTTCATAATTGTTAGCCATATGGTACTTAATTGATCTAGGCGCAAGTGTGTTTTTTGGCCATACCAGCTATACTTATATGGAAATGCACACAATACGATTCGTGCAGATCATTTTTTAGTTTGTAGGGCACATTATAAAAAAAAATCAGTTGCTAAACCACTGCAACCTCTGACGAATGTAACAAAGCGACCACTTTCCAACGCTCACCATTGGTACGGATGCTACCCAAAAAGGCTTTTCATGAAGTCTTGATATTTGCTCACGAAAACGGCTGTGTGAATAAAAGATATGGATATCAACCACGTCAAACATTACATTCTCTAAATGTCCTAATTCCCCAATGTTACTTTGATTAAGTCCAGTTTAAAGTTGTTGAAAATGTTAGCAGGCATGTAGTACAGTTAAAGCAGGTGAAAACACGTGTTAATCAAATGGACAAATTAAATGTATTGTTCTGCACGTTTCCCCAGTCGCTCTTCGTATTAAAAACAACAACATAAATTTGCACTTGTTATCCATTCTAATACATCTAAAATACCAGCTGCCATCGATTTTAACTAGCCATGGAATAAGACTCTCTGTTGTGCACCACCCTCCGCACCCATTCCAAGGGGCAGGCGTATCTATATCTGACTAGCGGGATGGCGTAAAGCGACGATTTGAAACGGCGAGACTCGAGTCGCGCTTTAGCGTCTGCCCGTAGTCGGCAATATAAGGCATAAGCGACAGGCAAGGGCTACTTAACTAGACCTTTAGAAATCAAGGTAAAATAAGTCAACTTCAGGTTTGAATTCGGAGGTTTAAGGATCGGGCGTCAGCACGAATACGGGCTAGACTTACGTTTTAGCTTGGTCCCATAATTATTTTAGCTTGCCGCCCTAGCAAGGCATCAATTGGCAAAATGTGGGCCCGATGTTGATTGTGGTGCCTAGCACAAATCTAATGAATTCAATCTTGAACTCGTCTTAACTAAATCCAAGGGTAAAAATGAGCGAACGGGCGTTAGCTATCATCTGACTATGGCGCCTCGCGGTTTGCGAGCACAGCTTTCTTTCGGCAGCCTCATTGGGAATGTACACACAGTAAGACCGCTCGTGTATAAAATCAAATTATCTCAGGTAAGACAGTTCTGCCCTGTGCTCATTTAGGGCAAATCAATAAACTGGTGAGTAAAGGTAACTGGGAGAAGGGGGATTTCGCGTTGGCGTTGCCCCGTAGAAGTGAGCTAAGGTGATAAGGCTATCAAATATGCGTCTGGCCTGGCGAGGTTCAATGTACGAAATACATGCGCAAATATTTTTGTAGTGAAGAGAGCATAACTTGTTATGCCTGTTACCGGAAAACTTTGCGCACCTGATATTCAACATAAATATTCTTAACTTTGTTGTTTGCCAGGCCATAATAAAACTGGAGAAGTATCAAAAGCACTATATGATAACTGCATGCCGATACTGATTTTTCCCAGATACCTTAGGTCTACCACATTTTTCTACAATCGTAGCGAACCTGAATCAAAACCGCCACAGCGGGCGAGCTCTGCTCCATCGGTGTTTGTGCGTGTGTTTTCGCCGGTGTCTTGTGTGCTGTCGTGCTTTCTAGGTACAGCCGCTTGGTGTTCTGTGCGGAGAACATTTAACGAAAAGTCCTCACCCGGTGTGTCACCCGGTCCATCGACCGCGTTAGTTCCGGTCGTACGTTAGTTGTTGGGGTGTTCTCGATGTGCCGAAGGGCTTGTGCTGCAAGATTTACCGGTCAATGTTGCAGGCTATTAGAGATACATGTTTAGTGAACTTTGGGCTTACTGTTAGCAATCTTTTTTACTTACACTTAGTCGTAGTGTTTTTCCAAAATGGTTAAATGTTCGAGCTGTTTTATGTTTTACGTAGATGTATAGGTGTGGAGTACGCCAGTGACGTTGGCCAAGCCACGAGAAGTGGCTGACCTTTGAATGTTGTTGGTACTCATTGATATATAGGTTAGTCTTGTTGGCTTCAGTGACATAAAGTTTTAGTGTTAATATGTGTTCAGTGGCGTTAAACAGCCCAGTATTTTGCCGAAAAAAAAACTTAAGATACAGGGTGTCCCATAAGTTCGTTCTCACCTAAATTTTACGTTTTTAGGCTCTCTTGCTTAAAGGCACGCTGAAATTGGTTCGTAACTGAGCTTACGTGGTTGCCATGGCTGGTAGAAATATGCTCCACAGTAGCTAATTTCTGTAGACAAAATAGTTTTTGCTAAAGAGCCCGCTTCATACAGAGACGGCTAACGCCGCAACATAGAGGTCTCCGATACGGGTACGTCTCAGTATTTAGTCAGCACGTGACCATTTGCGACGATTGAGGGTGATTGAGGCCTACCAGTCTGTAGCCAATGTCCATCGCTAACTGGACGCACAGTCAGCAAGTGACGCCGATGATTTGTCGGGAGTCAATCGCTGCAAGTTTATCCTCTTTGCAGTCAGCCCTCAGGAGTGAGCCAAGTGGCCAAAACTGTGTGGCGCCAAAGTGGCCATCAAAAAGGTTAAAGGGTTAGAAAGTTGGTAAGTAGACTTTTCAGGATGGATTACCAGCTGTCTAAGAGTGTTCTTTCGGGGTACATAACTCGAGGTGACTTAAGCTTTGCTTACCGGAGGGCACAAAACAGTCAAAAACGTCTTAAAATGGCCAAACATGAGTTTCGTTATGCCTGAGGCTAAACAAAACTAGAGGGCTGATGACATCAACCACGTCATCTGGACTAACTAGTCCACGTTCGAGATGAAACACCCGTCCAAACCCGAAAACAACCCCATAAGGGCGAAGGAGGAGGCCTCCGTTTCGTCCCGTTATGTTCCTATGCAAAAGGCCATGGTCAATGTGTTGTTGGGTTATAGGCGTTCTGGAGTTGAACAAGTTGCAAGTGGCAACCCAGAAACAGTTTGGGGAAGCAGAATGCTTTTCCAAGAACATCTAGGAGGAGTTTCAGCCCTCAAGCTGAACTCGAACCGCGAGTATGAACACATTTATAGAGGAGAAAATGGCATCCGGGAGGTCGTAGGCCCATCTTCAGGCAAGACAGTGCATCAGTGCACAGGTCAAGCAAAGATTAAAAGCGGTGCAAGGAGACTGTGACAGGCGTTTGTGGCAAGATCACATGCCAGGCACCTCATCGGATCAAAATTTCATAAAAATGTGTTGGTTATGCTGAAATTGAGGCTCGTCGAAGCGTAGCGCTGTTCCAGCCTCGAGGAGCTCACGGTGCATGTCAAGTCAGTCTGGGTTAACTTTAAGCTTGCTATGCAGCCAAACATGCCGGTTGGTATGCCGCAGCATGTATTCACGTGTTTGCCTATTAAATGGGGAGCACATTGAGGGGTCATAAATATATCAAAACGCAATGTACTCTGTTTCACATGCAAACATAATGTGAGAACGAACTTTTGGGACACCCTGTAGGTGGGTGGTTCATGGCGAACGTCACAGAAAGGAAACCCAAGTGATTAAAAAGAAACATGAGACGTCGTATCTATATTGAATCACTTCTAGCGATATCAGATATTGATTGGTTTTTCAAAACGCTGCCAATTTAACACGGCATTTTTAAGTAAACGTATTGTCAGATACAAAAAAAGTTTTTTTTAGACTTATTCATTTATTTTATATAAATTATATCTTTGAAAGATTTAATCGTTGATATAGGTTAGGTACTATGATGGATTTCATTTGGGATATTTCATAATCAATCCTAAACTTTTTCGGGGCGTTGAACATACCTAATTTGATGTGATTCAAAGTTAGGTCACTTGTTAGTGGTTTATGTATATTTTTTTTTTCGTCATGTCAGCAACGAACCCTAGAAAGGAAAGCAGAAGAATAGCACGCTTGGCAAGCTCCTGCAGACTATCAAAATAACTGTATCTGCATGCATCTGACAATAGTAGAAGCGCACTCTTGAACCACCGAACAACGTCAAACCTTCTCTGGTTGTCGTTCAAAGAAATGTATTTCCTAATTTGCCTGTATTCCGAATGATGCTGGAAGACATTTAGGTCTATGTAGTTCCACCTTGAATATGAGAAAATCTCCATATAAATCTCTCCATAACATTGAAGGCTGAATATTTGACCAGCTACATGTCCGATTAGGTAGGTATAGATCAAGGCTTCTCCCGAGTAGATAGGTGCCGTCAGAGAAGGTCAATCCTAATTAATCCTTACATTTAATTCGTATTCGTTTCGGGCTACACTGAGGTAAAAAATTGTTAAAAACCAAATATTTCGGCTTTATTGAGTAGCCTTGTTCACTGGTTTGAAATATGAAATACCTATGTTGAAATACCTATGAAATACCTATGAAATATGTTCAAACCAGTGAACAAGGCTACTCAATAAAGCCGAAATATTTGGTTTTTTACAATTTTTTACCTCAGTGTAGCCCGAAACGAATACGAATTACTATCATTTACCTGAGGAAGATTAGAAATGACACTTCGTCAATACCTTACATTTAAGTTAAAAAATTGTGCCTACGGACTTAATCATACATGCATTCAACTGTGTATCTATGCTTTGGGAAACTGAAAAAAATATTCCGTATGGAAAGTTGATATGCTACGATAAGCATGTCGCATGAGCTACATGAGATATACCATTTCATTTCTGTTGGAGGGAAGTAGTGCGAGTATTACGGGGAGAAGGATACGAGTACAGACATGCGGGCAATGTTAGACGCAGCGTCTATACACGGGCTCTGTGTTGTGATAATAAATCGAGAAGGCTCAACTCGCTCGCCGGAAAGAGTTTATACCTAAAGTGCGGGTCAACATTGCTCACGTAGCTTTGTGGGTCTTTTAGGCCGCTCTGTCTATGAGAAACAAAACGGGTTGTTACTCGATGTTTGTTGTATTAGGAAAACGTTACGAGTAAAGCCACTTATCTATTTTCGCTGCCGACGGGCCGCTCCTGTGGCCGCGGCCGGGCTTGTGCTGGTTGGTCGGGCTGCTGGTCGGGTCCTGAGAAGCGATGAACGGCCACTGCCGGTTTGTGCTGGCTTTTCGAGACGACTAGTTAGCTGCAGTGCTGGAAAACGATGTGATGAGAGGTGCTCAAAATTATTGATTGTATGTGCAATATGTTTATGAAGTGGGCACCACTGGCCTCTAAACAAACCACACCCTTTAACAAGTCATTTATATAAACCGAACCGTTCGCTTAGCGCACCAATCAGAGTTTGGCGGTTTTGAGTGAAGCAACTCGGCCGCCTCTCGGATGGAGAGCGCCAAAGGCATTCACAAGTCGCTAACTAGTAACTACTACTATTGCTAGCGCTGCCGCAATGCGACTTCAAGGAGAATTGCTAGAATTCATCCCTGCTTATTCAGTGAATGCTAATAAAGTGGTTATATTTAGTGCCGCTGCGATTCTACCATGACACTTGAATGCTTGGGTTAGGAAGTTATCGCAAAGAAACCCGTGTGTTGCTTGGGGTTGTTATTACTAGGAATGGTTATTTTGATTGCATTTATTTTATAAACACACGTTTTGAATTTTGGGTATATTGTGTTTACCTATAGAATCGATGCATGATGCGAGACACCGGTGCCGAGGACGTGTATTTCTTCATTAAACATTATGGTTAGAGTAACTTCGAACCGATTATTTCTGTGAACGGGCCCCTGGCTTACTGTAGTTTACTGAGCGTCCGGCTAGTCTCTCCTAGTTTACCGAGCGCTCCAGGCAGCGTGCCGGGTCCTGCGTGGCTCTGGTCAGCAAACACAGTTTGGTCCGAACTTTGTAGCGCGGTAGCACTGTTTGAATAATGCCTGGTTTCGCCGTCGCGTTAAGCGTGCCGCCCGAGTTATGCAGTTTAGGTCAGTTGCAGTTCTGCACCCCTCGATGCTTTGTGTGTGTTGTTCAATACACAATTATACCTACCTGATAGTTTTCTTTGTGACGTTTCTCCGATATGCTGGAGTTTAGGAAACAACCTTGTTTATTGTTCAGCCCCGAGGGATTAAACACACGACTCAGAACGGTATCCTGCCATAACAATTTTTCAGAGATGCGATTAAACGCGTGCATTGTGTGCTTATCAGAATTGAAGCATTCTATAGAACAGATCAAACGCCATACAAATTGTACATGTTAAATTCGATTATCAATTTCCTAAATGCATATAACAAAATGAAGGAGCTGGTCGTGCAGGCGATCAAACATGCATTTTATCTTTTTTTACAATGGTACGCCAACATCAAACTTTTGGCTATTTTATGATAAACATATACGCTCGGAAGAGGTCTACACGATTGGAACAAATACATCGTTGCGATTGCGGTACGTTGTGGCACTGTCCGCTGTCTCCGTCTTGTTATACAAAGATGACGCTGTAACCGGCCGTCCGGCGATGGCTGCCGTCCAGGGCGGGTCGATACTTCTGATACATCTCCGCCACCACTTCCGCAGTATCACCTGACGGAAAAGTGCTGTTTGAAAGTCTGCTCGTCACCCATCAGCTCTGTGATGTTCACTTCCTTAGGCGACAAACTGGGTAGACCGTAACGCTGACAGCGTGATCGCAATCATACTGCTGCGTTGTACTGGCTGTCCAAGAGTAACGGCATTAATTTACCTACTACAAACATGTCTCGTTTCTTTTCTCTCGCCTTAGATCCAGCTTCAAAACATTTGATTAAGCTTGGCTACACCAGGAGAGCCTACATATTGCTTTTCCGCTTTATACCGTCTCAATAAGCCTCCCTGTGCAATAAAAGGATATCAGAGTAGACATACCTGCCGCGGATAAGCTGAACAGTTCTAAATAATTCGCAAACAACAGAGCTGCGATAAGAGAAAGGCTCAAAAGTTGGCCGTATAAACGTGCCTACATATTTGGTAACGCATCAAAACCTGACAGAAATAGAGAGATGAGATTGATCGCTGGACACTAAATAAGGTTGCACGGAAGAGCTCATTTATTTTTAAAGCTAAAAATTATTATCACAATTAAATGAACTGATATATTCGACAGCTTGACTTGCACCCAAAAAATGAAAAGCTGCAACTAATTTTTGTGGAAAGTAGCCTGCATTTTGTGAAAGCATCTCGTAGCGGAGCGTTCTTAGTACCTAATTCTCACCAATACCGACGTAACGGAAACATTGTCTGGGAGAAATACCAAAGGGAAATAAGTGTGTTTGTGTCTGTTTGAGAAGCCAGTTCACATCACTCACCGGTAGGCACATGTGAGTAATCAGCCGGGCCGAACGTGAAGGGCTCCTCCACTTGTGAAAAATACCTGGCGTTCACTTCGGTCTGGTTATAGGGTTGTGCCGTCAACAAGCACTCTTCCAAATACCTGCAAATATCGACATGCAAGTCGAGCAATAAATATGTCGCATCATGCGTCAGGACACGGCATTAGCATCGAAGTGATACAGTGAGCATTGAATCTTGGACGCCATTATTATCGATATTTTTTAAGGATGCGTCAGTCGTCAGATTATATACTGCAGCGTCGCATCAAAACTTCAAGCAGGAATTAGCATTATAGCGTATGTATCCCCTAGTTTGGTATGATATAGGGTCAACTCAAATGTCAGCTATAACACGGGCTTTAACACCGCTCAGCGTCTTTTACAGCCCATTGGACATATTATCACTGAGCCTGTAGCTGTAGCTAAGAGAACTCAGTTTGAGCTGTTAAACAACTAGGAAAGAGCATAGGAAACACTAGTAAATTTTAGCGGGGTTGGCCGGGGCAGACTGCCGAAAAATACCCAATGGGCAGGCCAGCTCTGTAACAGCTGTCAATTGCAAGGAGTCCAGCGGCTGTCATTGGTAGGTTCGGTCCTAATTTCACAAAGTGCTGTACTTATACAAGTAACTTATTTCTACAGCACTTAACAACAGCACTAACGCAGTCGGCACTGGCGCCTGTTTCTATGAACATGATCTATTTGCGCTTTTGATAAGGATCGCAATCCATTAGGAATTTTTCTGATTTAGGAAACCCTATAATTAAGAGCGACATTTCAAAATGGAGGAGGTTTATACTGCCATTGATTTCTTATTACTGCTGCCAAACAACGTCTGCTATTGTGCATTGTGCAATTATGTGCCCTATAAAAATTGTCGACCCTTTGCTGTTAAGGCGCTAACAGAGTTGGTCTAACCTTACTGCAGTTGATGCGACTATACGGGTCATGTGCGAAAATCATATTTAGGTTGATTTATAAATCAAACTACAGCTGAGTGAAAACTTCCTTTTCCTTTGGGTGACCGTCTAATTTTCCGACATTGAAGCGTTCTCATTTACTCTTGCCCGACTGGTGCATTTTTTTTTTTTGCCATAGCACTGACGAATAGGGGGACGGCGACGACCTCAAGCATTTTTACTCCTAGTGTGACCTAGAATGGTGGAAAAACGGCACGCATTGCTTTTCACAAGATATTGAGGTCAGGTCAATAGTTAATTTTCACCGCGATGCTTCATATCAAAACCGTGAAAAGGCAACCAACGAACTATCGCTGGCAGTTTTTCCGTTCAACTTAAACATAGGACCTATGCATGCATGACAGAGGTCGTTCGTTTCTTTTCATGCACTGCTACTTATTAGGGGTCATGACCTCCATGCCACTCTCTTCCCTTGCAGCAGCCAATGAACACTTAGGTACAAATAGGCAATTGGCATGATAACGCGGTCTTCTGTATTGGTTGTTCCTAACAAAATTAATGCTGTCTTTTCGACCAGCATTAAGCTGTTGCAGTCTTACGTGATGAAGACGCGCCAGCGGGCCCGGTAGTAGTCGCGCATCAGGCCGGACCACTGTTTGGCGGCGTAGTCGACGATATTGGCGCGCGGACCCCACAGTGTCAGCTGGTTCAGCAGGTTGTACACGAACTGGACGCCCTCCTGAGGTCAGGAGGACGTCAGACCGTCTGGGGGTTTATAACTGATCGAATGCGCCTACTATGTAGGTAGCTGACTGCCCTGGACCAAAGTTTTAAAGTTTAGACAATCTATAATTGATGTTCGTTTATCAGTAGATTCGGTAATGCTAAACCTTATATGACAAGCATGTCTTAGGCAATTAAATACATCATTGACACGGACTGGCATCCGCGAAGACAGCAGCGGGACGATATCGCCTATCTCACCTCCTCACTGGCGGCGGCCTCTCGAGCCTGCTTCACCCAGGCTCCGAGCAGGAAGTCCTTGTCCGTGTTCAGCACGGTGTCCAGGTCGGCCAGCAGCTCCAGTATCACGGCGCCCTCCTCCCTGTGTGCCGGTGCGAGTGTAATTTCAATTAACGATTTACAAGTTTTCTTTTACTGGGGCGCGCTATCACGTAAACTTATATTGGGTTTAACCAAGAGCTCATATCTTTACAAAAATGTGCTGAAAGTTTATCCAGTTTTCACGCATGAGCTGATGTTCGATTTAGCAGTGCCCTGCAGTTTGGGGTGACACACTGCGTTTGGCTCAGGGTATGTTCGGCTCAGGCTATGTTTGGCTCAGGGTATGTTTGGCTCAGGGTATGTTTGGCTCAGGGTATGTCTGGCTCACCGCAGCAGGACGGTGTTGTTGTCGCTGAAGGCGCCGACCAGCCGGCCGTGGTAGGTGGTCAGCAGGCCGGTCAGCACCTCCCTCGTCACGTCCACCAGGTCGTGGCGCAGGTTGGCCGCGGCCCGCACCTGGTCGGCCGTGGCTCCAGCGACCAGCCGGTCCCAGGCGGCCGTCAGGTCGGAGGAGTTGTACCACAGCTGGGCGGAGGCGGGAGGAGCAGTCAGCAGACACAGCCGTCAGGTCGGAGGAGTTGTACCACAGCTGGGTGGAGGCGGGAGGAGCAGTCAGCAGACACAGCCGTCAGTCGGAGGATTGTACCACAGCTGGGCGGAGGCGGGAGGAGCAGTCAGCAGACACAGCCGTCAGGTCGGAGGAGTTGTACCACAGCTGGGCGGAGGCGGGAGGCGCAGTCAGCAGACACAGCCGTCAGGTCGGAGGAGTTGTACCACAGCTGGGCGGAGGCGGGAGGAGCAGTCAGCAGACACAGCCGTCAGGTCGGAGGAGTTGTACCACAGCTGGGCGGAGGCGGGAGGAGCAGTCAGCAGACACGGCCGTCAGTCGGGACAGAGGAGTTGTACCACAGCTGGGCGGTGACGGGAGGAGCGGTCAGCAGACACAGCCGTCAGTCGGGGCAGAGCGAGGGCGAGGGGCAGCAGACGGCACGGACAGGGGAGGGGACAGCAGACAACACAGACAGACAGGGGCAGCAGACAGCACAGAGGAGACAGAGGGCAGGGCGGTGGCAGGGGCAGCAGACAGCACAGAGGCGATTAATGCCCCTTTGTCGTTACGCCCCCAATTGAGCAATAACTTTTGAGCCCCCGATTTAGCAATAACTTCGCGGAAAAGGGTGTGTGTGTGTGTTCCGTTACGAGTAGCAGCGACTGGTACTAAATTTTAAAATTTCAGGTCCACCGATAACATCTGAGATTAGGAAAGTGCAAAAACCGGACCGACACTGTTAAATAAATTCTGCATTTTTACATACCTGTCATTCAAACACTCAAACAGTATACCTTTGTTTGGAAAGGCAAACTTTGCCGTGTTGAACTCAAGTCAAGGTCGGGTCACAGGTATGCAATATGCATAGGTATAACATATGTAGCTTCATCATATAAAGACACACAAGCAGTAGCGGCGAAACACCTTCAATTAACCCGCGCCCCGCTGGGCTATTCAGCCATACGCGCCCTGCTGGGGGGGGGGAGGCAGATTCTGCCCCCTTGTCTAACTTCCGAACCGATGGTCGTAGAAAGACGGGGAAAACGGCAATCGAAAGCTCTCAACAAGGCGGATCTTAAGAGCACACATTTTTTTGCTTGAGTAGGTCAGAGGTTAGGTCAAGGTCAGGTCAAGGGTACAAAATGCAAGTTTCTACAGTATCGGCCTTGCACCGTAGTTGCCGAAGAATGGACTGAGACTGATTGCCCAAAACGTGTTCTTAGACTACCAAGACAATATTCGTTGCATACAATGTCATTCAAAGGTCAAGGTCAAGGTCAAGGTCAGGTCAGGTCACCAAAAACAAAATATAGAAAAGGGCATGTGCGACACATGTTTTATGGGTCATTTTACTCATAGAATTCAATAGGCACACTCAATTAGTGATATTGACCAAATCTGGATGAATCTCAGGTCGAGGTCAGGTCAAGGTCAGGTCAAGTGAGGTCAAATTTTGAAGTTGGTTGTTAAGGCCTAAAAAGGTGTCTATCTGATGCAGTGTTTCACGGCGAATCGAATGGTGCTATTTTTGTTTCCGTACAAGGCCTAGAACTTCCAAAAAAATCATTTTTCAAAGTTTGTGTGTGTCGTGACTTCATAAAATTTTGAATAAATCCCACATTTTTGAACCGATTCGTCTAAAAATTGGTATGTAGGTGCACATAGACCACGTCTCTGATACTTATTTCGTTTTTTTATACACTCAAAATTTTGGATTTTAAAATTATTTCCCCAAAAAAGCCAGTTTTTTGAAGAAAAAAATTGGGCCAAAATCCAACATTTTCAAAAAAACCGAGATAGCCCTTTGATAGACAAAGTAGAATCACGTATAACCTTTTTTGTTACGTCTTGATTCCTAAAAATGAAGATGTTAGCGGCGTTTGAAATTTTGCCGTTTTTGAGGCGAAAATGGTGAACATGACGTAACTAAAACGTCAATTTCTCAAACATTTCCGGCGGATTTCGCTTAAATTTTCAAGGAACGTATCAAATTGATGCATGATAAGGTACTGAAAGTTTGACGTCGCTGGCGTAACGCGTTTAGAAGTTATTGGCGAAAAACGGGAGAGGGGGCAGATTCTGCCCCCCCCCCAGCGGGGCGCGGGTTAAGGGGGGGGGGACACTGCCGACTTTTGGTCCCATTCTTTCCATGCAACGCCCATAGGGCTAATGTTAAAATGCCAAAATCAAAGGGGTCACGGTGCCCCGGTGCCCTCCCCGTTCCGCCGCCTATGACAAGGTGCAGCATGGACTACTGATCCCTGCAACTAGTTCATGTAATAACGATTCATGTGATGGGGATAGTTAGGATTAGATCTTGGCTGGCGCTAAAAAATTAGTTTCAATATTTGCCCATTGAGTGATGATGTGAGGGGGAGTGGTCACGTAACCGAGCTGACCTAAAACGATTCTTACGAAAAATCCTAAATATTGAAGTTGTGAGGACTTAGGGTTTATTACTTCATTTTTTTTTTTTTACTTTCGCTGGACCTATTGGTTTGCTACATACGCGCCGGCCGAGGGGGAAGGGGTACTACGACTAGAGATGTCAATCGGATACCAACTTTTTGGTATACCGATACCAAACCGATACCTACTTGGTATTTGGTATTTCAAGGCGAATGTATTTGGTATTTTGTTGGTATTATGAATCCTCTCTTATGTAAAAGAGCCTGAGAACTTGGTAAAATGTTGCAGTTGGTATTTCCCTCATATTTACAAGTTGGCTCGGTTTCGGTATTTTTTCCATGTGTATTGTTGGTATTTGGTTTGGTATCGGTATTCCGATTTTCCGTAACTGACATCACTAGGTATGACCCCCCTCGCTGTTTCGCCCCTGATAGAGCTAGAGCCTCGCAGAAAAGACGAGCGTGTGCGCCGTTACGAGACGAGTCGACTGACACCCTATCTTAAGGTCTCAGGTCAATTGGTGACCTCTGAGGTCAGGTCAAGTGGCCTAGGGTACGGGTACGTTTTTTTTATAAATAAGTAACTTCGCAAAAACGGCCATAGAGCCGCGATTTTGGCATCATCGTGTTTGCCTCACTCAGGCGCATCGAATGGTATGCCTCTAGTTCGGTGAGGTTCAGGTGCTGACCTCGAGTCAAGGTCAGCTCACGAAGTTGGTCAAAGGCGGTCATATCGCATATCATTCGATTCGGGAGGTCTTCCTGAGTCCATTGGTGGCTTTCCAGACTCGCTACCTGACCTCATATGACTTTTAGGAAAATTCCGAAATATACAAGCTGCAAGAACTCTATAGATGATATACCTACCTACTACGTCCTATAAGTTTCAACTCCCTGTAAAAGTTCCTCTGCGACTGAGGGCGTTGCGAAGCAGTGTTCGCCATGGGCCGAGCCAGCCCAATGGGCCATGGGCTGGGCTGGGCTATGGGCTGGGCTGGGCCCTCAAATATGAAGGATCGATGCGCTGTAGATGGCTGGGCCAACAACTGTAAAGTGGAGTCAGGGGTTCGCAACTGAGACAAAAACTATAACTACATACATAGCTTATTATTGTGCAAGACTCAAAAACCCTGGCGGGGGGGGGGGCCTCAGGAGCCCCCCTGAGGTTTTTTGGTTATTTCTCCCAAACGCTTTGAGCTAGGAAGCTCAAATTTTCGGACTTTTCCTAAAAGGCTTTTACGCAACATTTCTGAAAATTTTGAGTTGATCTGATCTCAGGTCAGGTCACCAGAGGCGGTTTGGTGACCCTACCTCAGAAAAGTTTGCAATCACGCAAGAGCTAGCGTTTTTGACCGATCAATTTCTTCTCTTCAGGGTATAGTTAGGGTACCAGTATGTGCAATTTGTATATCTCAGAATTTTCATATCTGTGACCTGAGGTCAGGCCAGACTTGTGACCTTTACATTGCAAGCCTATGGGAAAATATTGAAACGCCTCCTGCTTCGTGTAAACGAGTCAAAACCACCCAATTCTTTCAGTATTATGGAAGATTATCTCATCGGCGATGATCCTGGTGCCGCTAATTGACAGGGGCACCGGCAAAGGTCATCTGAGGTCATGTGACGTCATAAATCGTTTTTCTGTCAATAAATCACGACATGATGGTGCTAAAGACTTGTAAGTGGTACCAAACTGCTTGCCTGGTCAAGGCGCGTCGTTTGGTATGCAGCATGACCATACCCCACATCCTCATTGATGAATGACCTGACCTTGACCTCAGGTCAAATTTCAAATTGACCTGTGAAGGTCATCACATACTTATTTCGCATCGCCTCGGCGAGAGCAACAAAAAATGTATTGGTTTTATGTCTCTATGTTTCTTAGTTTAAAAGTTATAAAGGGAACTAATTCCAAAACATTTTATCGTTGATGACCTCTGGTGACCTCAATATTGACCTGACCTGAAAATGTTTTATGTAAAAGTTGTAGATCTTTAAACGACCTATCAAACGCCGTTCGCCGTTTGTCGCTGCGATGTGTAGTTTTTGAGATCTGAAGGGGGGCCGAATCGGCCCCCCCCGCCAGTTTCTTGTCCCGGCGGAGCCCGCCAGGAATAGGGTTAACCCTATTAGTGGCAGGGGGGGGGGGGTTGTTTTCATCCACCCCTCAGGTTTTTCGGGAATATCTCCGAAACCGCTGAAGCTACGATGCTGAAATTTTCTGACTTTTCCTAAAACTAAATTGGGCACATTCCCTGAAAATTTCAAGTTCATAACTTTACCAGGGGCGGCTCCAGAGCACTGGGAATTGGGGGGTCCTATTCGTGAAGCGAGTCATTTGGGCGATGATCACGATGCTGATGTATTATAACTGTATGCACCAGTTTTATCATGTGATAACATATACAAAGTTATTGTGCATCCTCTTTTGACACGTTTTTGCTATAATAGGCGGATCCAGGCGTCCAAAAAGGGGGGTTATGTTTTACCTCCCAACATAGGTGCCCTGACACCGCCTATGCATGACCAATACAATTGTAGTCGTTCTCTCATAAGAAAATTGTAACATAACAAGACCATTACCACCCTTTTTAGAAACAGTACCAACAAAAACCTTATTTACTATACTTTTTGTGTACCCCCAATATCAATGATCTGTATCCGCCTATGATTTTTGAAAATGCATATTTTTAGGATCCATGTGAATGCCTGGTTCATTCTCTATCGATCGGCAAAAGTTGCGTTAAGATTGGTTCAGAAACCTGGCCGTGATAAACAGTCTAAAATGTATCTGCAATTTCCCCGTTTTTACCCCCCTCAACCCCCCTTTTGACATTTTCTTAATTTTTATTTTTTAGAAATGTAGATCACGTTGAGCGAAATCGAATGCCGTTTGAATTTTGAAAATCGGCCCGTTAGATCTCGAGATATCAAGGGGGGGTCGTAAACAGCCCCCCCTGCCACTAATAGGGGTAGCCAGGAGCCTGCCACTAATAGGGTTAACCCGCGACCTGGTGGGGGGCTATTTTTTGCCCCCCCCCTCCAGACTTTTCGATATATCTCCAGAACCGCTGCGCCGATCGTCACCAAACTTTCAGTACCCTCCCGGACATCAATTTTACACATTGTGACCAAAAATTTTTCCAAAGGCTATGACAGATTGGCCGGAAATGACGTCAGAGTGACGTCATGTTCTACCGTTTTCGACCCAAAAAAGGGTTTCGCGGGAAGAGCTGTCAGGCCTATAGCTTTGCAAATACAGAAAAATGATAAAGACATAAAAGCTGTAGATTAAACAGGGCTACAAAACTGCTATATCGGATTTTTGAAATGTTTGGAATTTGACCCCCAAAAATAAAAAAATAGATTTTTTGGATATAATAATCGAAAAATCCAAAAAGTTTTTCGAATTTCGCAAAAACCGGAACATATGTGATAGTCCTTACCGCCTTCCATCCACATACCAAATTTGAGATTGATACCTCTTTTTTTGGCGAAGTTATAGCGAAAAAACTGTTCAAAATTGATGACGTCAAATTTTCAAACTCAATTTTTAGCAATTTTAGACCCCGTAGCGCAAAACAAAGACCACCATTAGACTCCCCGTGACGAGCTGCATTGAATCAATCAATACCCATTTTATGCAAAACTATCAACTTTAAAATTTGACCATTTTTGGCCTGACCTTGACCTGACCTTGACCTGAACTTCACCAGAAAGTGACCTAAGTCGTACCTGATAGTCTTATAACCAACACCATTGAGTTGGAAATGAAAAATTGGCCATAAAACATGTATCACACAACCTTAGTAAAGTTGGGCTCATGTGACCTGACCTGTGACCCTTGGTGACCTGACCTGTGACCTGACCTGGTATTGCCAGTGACCTCTAATAGCAACATATCTACTAGGCACTAGGCAGCTGACGCCCTACCGCTGATTCTCGACAAAATGCGTTTCCTCGGCGTTATAGCGCATTCCCTAGAAGACCCGTGAACGGTGAAACATTTCATCTTTGACCTGACCTGTGACGTCATCGGTGACCCCGAGGTCAATGAAATTTGGTTTCTCTTGACAAATTTGACAGGCCTTTCGAACGCCGTTTGAATTTTGCGGATCCGTCCAGTAGTTTCGGAGATACGAGGGGGGGGGGGGGCAAAAAATAGCCCCCCCCCCCCCACCAGGGCGCGGGTTAATAACCCGCGCGGGGCTGGGGTCTCCAGCCGAACGCGCGGGGCTGGGGGGGGGGGTAAATTTTACCCCCCCCTGTTATCTCCCGAACTAATGGTCCGATTTGGAAAATTCAAACGCCAATCGAAAGCTCTCATCACGAACTACTAAAAACATGTACTTAATTTAAAGTTTGAGGTCAAGGTCAAGGTCAGGTCAAGGGTACAAATTGCAAGTTTCTACAGTATCGGCCTTGCACCGTAGTTGCCGAAGAATGGAGTCATGGACTGAGACTGATCGCCCAAAACGTGTTCTTAGGCTACCAAGACAATATTCGTTGCATACAATATCATTCAGAGGTCAAGGTCAAGGTCAGGTCAGGTCAGGTCAGGTCACCAAAAAACAAAATATAGAAAAGGGCATGTGCGACACATGTTTTATGGGTCATTTTACTCATAGAATTCAATAGGCACACTCAGTAAGTGATATGGACCACCTCTGGATGAATTTCAGGTCGAGGTCAGGTCAAGGTCAGGTCAAGTGAGGTCAAATTTTGAAGTTGGTTGTTAAGGCCTAAAAAGGTGTCTATCTGATGCAGTTTTTCACGGCGAATCGAATGGTGCTATTTTTGTTTCCGTACGAGGTCTAGAACTACCAAAAATGTCATTTTTCAAAAATTTTGTGTGTCGTGACGTCATAAAATTTTGAATAACTCCCACATTTTTGAACCGATTCTTCTAAAATTTGGTATGTAGGTGCACATGGACCACTTCTCTGACACATATTCCGGTTTTTTTCGATAAACTCAAAATTTTGGATTTTATAATGATTTTTCCAAAAAAGTCAGTTTTTTGAAAAAAATTTAGGCCAAAATCCAAAATTTTCAAAAAACCGAGATAGCCATTTGATAGACAAAGTAAAATTACGTATAACCTTCTTTGTTACGTCTTGATTCCTTTAAAAATAAAGATGTTAGCGGCGTTTGAACTTTTGCCGTTTTTGAGGCGAAAATGGCGAACATGACGTCACTAAAACGTCAATTTCTCAAAAAATTTCCGACGGATTTCGCTCAAATTTTCAGGGAACGTGTCAAATTGATGTAAGAAAAGGTACTGAAAGTTTGGCGGCGCTGCGCGTCGCCATTTTTGAGATATCGCAAAAATTCGCGAGGGGGGGGGGGTAAAATTTACCCCCCCCAGCCCCGCGCGGGATAAAGCACGCATGCAATGTGCATTGTGCATGCTGCTCGCAAAAGATTGTTTCTTTGCTACCTTTGGGCTTTGGGTACCTGTGTGGTGTCAATAATTTTTAAACCATTCATTTTTGACGGGCTGGGCCGGGCTGGGCTTTGACGCTTTTACCATGAATAGGCTCGGGCTGGGCCGGGCTGTGAACCCATGGGCCTGGTATGGGCTGGACTGGGATTTTGCGGCCCGTGGCGGCACTGTTGCGAAGTACAGCGACATCTGAGGACCGTGCAGAGGCTTACTTAAGACGTCATAGGTAAATGACCTGACCTGATCTGAAAATTCAGTTGACGTCACAAGATCCGGCTTGAATCAAAGATCAGGTATGCTGATTTTCATCTCTCTATATCCGGCGTGTTCGGAGCTATCACAAAAATAATCTTTGGGGGGCATCCCCCACTCAGCCGGCGAGGGTTAAGCTGGCTGTGACACATTCTTTGGCATTAAGAGCGTCGCGCAGTTGCGACATTTTTGAGACGGTGTTGAGAAGTTGACTCATGACGTCATAAGGTTAGTGACTTGACCAGACCTAAAACTAACTTACTTAGTGTGAACAATTTGTCTGGAATATTTTCTACTTTTTTCTTTTTTCTCTTTTTAAGTCACTTTTCTTGGTCATTCTGAGCATTCTCAAAAATAAAAAAAGTTAAAAACGAGGCAGTCAACACACCGCCGTGGCAGGGTAGGATAGATTATAGGCATGTTCCTATGCAATCTTGATGACGAGCGCATTATATTTTAATTTTGCCAATAGGTATATGGCCTTGGGGTTGAGCTTTGAGTTTGTAGAACGTTTTTTTTTGCGTTCGAACATCCAATGATCAAATGTACGTGGGCTATACAGGGAACAAAGTTTCTAAGCGCAGGAGACAAGAACTAGCAAGCTAGGCAAACAGGCAGGTACTCACAATAATGAGGTTGCAATGCAAACACATTGCACCAAGGACACGATGCTTACACAAAGTCACAATTTTAGCAAAAGCATGCAAACGTAAGCTTTTTTGGAGACATTGCCAGTAGCATATTATTAGCCGTTTTCACGACGGCCATCTGGTACACATTCGGTGCACATCTGGTACAGATCAGGTGCAGATTTGGTCAAATCAGGTTCAGTGTGTCTCTTAGCAGCTATCAGCTAGGGTTGCACTCATTGCTTATGTATATGTCTGCTATGTCATATTATCAGAGAGCATCATCGGTTAAAACACTGAAATAAATTCATAAAATGAAGATATTTGCTGTAAAAGAAATTAGGTGCAGATTTGGTTAAATCAGGTGCATTCGCCGGATAGCCCGTCGTGAAAACGGCTATTACAGTCGTCAGCCATCCCAAGGCCCTATATACCATCCCAAGCACTGCCACGGTACTTACAGCCGGGAAGGGGCTGAGTTGCGGCCGACTGGTCACCATAAAATAGCCGATGTGGCCAAGATCGAGCGACATCAACACGGTATCTACATCCGTCTGAAAAGGGTCGTACCGAATCCTCAGACTGAGTTTTGTAAAGCACTAGGAAGAGCAGGAGGTCGAAGAAGAGGATAACAACCATAGAATATGGTTCCTTTACCTGTTAATTGCAAAATGCAAAGTTGTGAATAGCATACTAGATGCCGGCAGCGCTCGTGCGTTGCCATGGACCAGAATTGAAGGAATGGTAGGTAGGTACTGTCTACTGAGAGTACACCGGGCCAATTACACTGTGTCTCGGGATCAGAGGATCGTTTGTCAAAACAGTCATTCGCCCTCGGCACGCGCAGTTTGATTCCCTCGTATATTATCTCGCTGAAATGTCATTTAACCCTACTCCGGGCGGGCTCTGAAGGGTTCGGTTCTGGGCGGGGGGGGGGGGGGGGCTTTTCGGCCCCGCATCAGATCTCAAAACCACACATCGGAGCGACAAATGGCAAACGGCATTTGATATGTCGTTGAAAGATCTACAACTTTTGCAAAAATATTTTTGGGTCAGGTTGAAGTCACCAGAGGTCATCAATGATAAAATGTTTTGGAAATAGTTTCTTATATAACTTTTGAATTAAGGAACATAGAGACATAAAAGTAGGGGAGATCCGTGTAAGACGCCCAGGGTCGGTAAGAGGCCCCATCGCTTTTTTTACCAAACCAATAATGCTATTTATTTTTTAATGTTCTTGTAAAGCAGAAGCTCTCTTGAAACAACAACTCACGAAACCTGAGGTATCAGGTGCGTCGCAGCGACTTTTGGTAAGCCGGTTTCTGTTTTTGCCCCTTTACTTGCTAGATATATGCATCTTTATCACCCTTATATATCTGAAAAAACAATGGCTATCAAATGCAATCTTATCTCATCGAAATTGTCACATGTTAGCTTCAGAATAGACCATGTTCTGGTGCGCTGCAAATGTCTCATAAACCATAAATATTGTGACGTTAAAACACTGCATTTTTTTAAGAGGCCCTCCCTTCGAGGATGATAAAACGCCCCCCGATAAAAACGCCCCCGATGCTAAAACGCCTGCACCTGCGGCAGGCGTGACATTTTTTTCAAGGAGTTTGTTTTTGTTTCTTTTTTTTCTGTTTCCTTTCTTAGAGGTAATAGGTACAATTTTCGTTGGTCATCAGCGTTTGGTTGTGCTAGTTTTCGCATTGTTCGAGCGCTTTGGAAGTGTTATTGGTTTCGATAACACCGTATTTGCTTAGCTTTTCGAAATAAAAGGCCTTGCAGCTGTGTTCGCAAAGCGTCTTTTACAAGTCGACTTGACTTGTAAAACGCCCGAGGGGGCGTCTTACCATACCCATAGTGTAAGAGGCCCTTTTGCAACTTTTTCCAAAATGTTAAAGTTTACGGTTTGTGTACCCCCTAGATTCATTTTGAATGCAAATATGTATCGGAAAATGATGCATGCTTACAGCGCATGCACACGTTAGCTCTTAAATATTTCAGTTGTCTAAGAATAGCAACTGAGCTTAAGGGGGGGCCTCCTGCACCACTCTCCCCTAATACATTTTTTTTGCTCTCATCGAGGCGATGCGAAATAAGTATGCAATGAATTTCACAGGTCAATTTGAAATTTGACCCGAGGTCAAGGTCAGGTCATCCACCAATGAGGTTGTGGGGTATGGTCATGCTGCGTATCAAACGACGCGCCTTGACCAGGCGAGCAGTTTGGTACCACTTAGAAGTCTTTAGTACATACCATCATGTCGTGATTTATTGACAAAACTATTAATGACGTCACATGACCTCAGATGACCTTTCCCGGTGCCCCTGTCAATAAGTGGCACCAGGATCATCACCGATGAGATAATCTTCCAAAACACTGAAAGAATTGGGTGGTTTTGACTCGTTTACACGAAGCAGGAGGCATTTCAATATTTTCCCATAGGCTTGCAATGTAAAGGTCACGAGACTGACCTCACCTCAGGTCACTTATATAAACATTCTGAGATATACAGCGTGCACATATTGGTACCCTAGCTAAAACCTGAAGAGAAGAAATTGATCAGTCAAAAACTCTAGGCGTGCAAACTTTTCTGATGTGGGGTCAACAAACCGCCTCTGGTGACCTGACCTGACCCGGCACAATGTTTTTTTTGTCAAAATGTGCGCATTAAATGTTAAGGAAAAGTCACAGAGTATGAGCTTTCAGTCTTGCGGCGTTTGGCAATGGCACGAGAAAAAGCCTGAGGGGGCGAATTGCAAGGAATAGGGTTAACCCTCGCATGTGTAGGGGGTCGGATGGACCCTCATGGTTTTTCATGGGGGGGGGGGGGTCGGATGGACCCCCATGGTTTTTCCCAAATAACTCGTGTAACGCGCCCGATCGCGACGAAACTTTCAGTACTTTCAAGTTGATCAATTTTACACCTTCTTTGAAAATTTCATGACTCTGACCCAAATAACCTTTGACCTGCGAGCTATTTATCGAGACCATGTTTGGCCGGAGTCGCGATTCAGCGTATGTCAGCTCACATTATTCGCGCGCTTCCAGTCTTTTTGTGATTTTAAACGTCCAAACATGTGAAATGATGTTCGTCCCACGCATTATGTGGGTGTCAAGGTCACCTGAATGTCAGGTCAGGTCATTGACCTTGGATGACCTCGGGTCACTTTTCGAGTTTTACATGTTTCTAGGGCAGTTTTTCGGGCTAATTTCCACTTCGGCTCATTGACCTGACCTGGAAGGTCAACCAATTACCTAGGACCTCAAAATTGAGTATCATCAGCTTCCTCTCGTCACGGGCAACACGCTCGTTTTTTTTTTCGCGAGGCTCTAGGTCAATCAGGGTCAACTGGTCAACTTGACTCAATTGGCCAACGCTTAAAAAGCTTCCGTGCCAAACAATATTTATATAGAACATTAATCCTATTACTGGTGGGTGGGTGGGGGGGGGGGGGGTGGGGGGGAATCGGCCCCCGCCTGTAGTTTTTTCCTCTCGACGGAAAACGACTTAAGCTAAGGACTCGAAATTTGGGGACTTTTCCTTGCTATTCATTGGGCACATTGTGTTAATTTTTTTAGTTTCTAGCTTGCGCAGAGGCGTCTCCAGGGCCCAATCTTATCAAATGCCTTGAATGCGCATTCACGGCATTTGGTAACATTCACAACTATTCCACATTCACTTATTCATTCGCTCTGGCGACATTTATAATCATTCACGCTATCAAAATCAATGGACAAGATTACCTGGAGGTAAATAAAAAGGACATCTTTGATACCAGTGCCGTAAACTCCGGCCAGTGCTGCCAAATCCTATTCACGGCATTGGTAAGATTGGGCCCAGGACGAGTTTCTCGGGGGTAGTTTTGGCCCAGATTTGACTGTTTCGACATTTGCCGCTAAGCAGCGGCCAGCGACTTACTTAGGTTTATACTGGTGACCAGTGGCACCACCCGTCATATGTATGCGCCTTAAGACTATGTGACGTCATTTTACAATGAAAATATTGGAAAAGGCGGATCCAGGTACCCGAGAAAGGGGGGGGGGGGTAATATCAATGTACTGCCCCCCGTCTTAGTGTGCCTGAATCCGCCTATGCTTAGCGAAAGCGTGTATTGTATGCTCACGTTGCATATTTTACATGATATATGACACATCATGTCATAAGACACGTGATAGGTATACCTTGACAAAAACTCAAAACGTCATCCCAAGTTAGCTTACCTGAATCCGCCTATGATTTTTGAAATATCCAAAATACCGGAGTATATATGAAGGTCCAGTTCATGAAGAAGGGTCCCCTGAAGTTTCATCAAAATCGGTCAAAAAAGAAAGAAGTTGTAGCATTTTTAGTGATGAGGTGTAAAACGCGATTTTTTCCGATTTTTTTTTTGCTTCCAGGAACCCTAATTTTGAACTTTCTTTTGACTTTTTAAAGTCAGTCTGAAAGTTCACGATGAGAGCAAGCGAATGGCGTTTGTCCATTAAGATCGGACATTCAGTTTTCGAGATATCAAGGGGGGGGGGCGAATCGGCCCCCCTCCACCAGTTAACGTAGTCCCGAGAGCCCACCATGCAGTAGTAGGGTTAAAACGCCTTATAGGGCGACAAACGGAGCGATCGAGAGGGGGCCTCGCAGGTGCGAATTTGTGAGGGGGTACCTCCAACTGACTTGTGCACGGCACCCGAATGACCGGTCTCTATTAACCTTCGCCCCAGTGGGGGGGGGGGGCATATGTTACCACCCTGTCGCGTTTTTTTGCGTGTAAATAAAAAACCGCGGCGCGTAGCGCCGCGCCGCTTGGGGTAGCTTTTGGTACATCAATTTTGGACAATGTGTGAAGTTTTTGACCCCAGGTCATGTCAGGTCAGGTCACCAGGTCAAGTTAACTGACCAAGCCTAAAAAAGTTTGAAATCATGTCCAGCCTGCAGTGTTTGTCAGAAAGGTTTTAAACTTGGTGGATTGCATGATGTTATGGGCGCCTACAAATTGTATATCTCGGATTTCTTATATCCGTGACCTAACGTCAGGTCAGTGGCGTGACCTTTCCATTACAAGTCAATGGAGAAAAATGAAAAAGCCTCTAGATCCGTGTGTACGCATAGGAACAGTCCAAATATTTCAGAATCACAATAATTTGGACCACCCGTGATGACCAGGGTGTCATTTTTGCTGATAGCCTCTAGAAAGGTCATCCGAGGTCATTTAAGGCTACAAACAGCTTTTTGCCAATAACTCGCGATTGGAAAGAGATAGAACGCTGGGGATGGTCTCATTGTGTTTGTCTTGCCGAGACGCATCGTTTGATATGCAACATGCCCTTTTCCGGTAAGGTAATGACCTTGACCTGAGGTCAAATTTTCAAGGTGACCTTTCAAGGTCTAATTACGGTTCATTCGACGCGTCTCGGCGAGAGGAACACGATTCTGGCAATAGAAATGTCGTGGCTTTTTGTTGTCGAAAGTTATTGTCAAAAAACACTTTTCGTAAAAACAGCTATTTTTGGAGTTTTTGCCCTCTGGAGGCTAAACCCGTGACCTGAGGTCAATTTTAATAATGACCTTTTCAAAAGAAGAGTTCAAGAGCTATCGATTGCTTTTCCATGCGTTTTTCTAGCTGCCATAGTTCCTGAGATAACGGCATGTTTTCTGAAAAATATAATGACCATTGGCAAATTTTGACCTTTGATGACCTCTGGTGACCCCAATATTGCTCTTAGATAAAAAATGACTGAAATACTTTCAAACGTACGCATTGAGAGCTATCGACTGCTTTTTACTGCGTCTTTTTAGCCCTCTTAGTTTTTGAGTTAGAGGTGGGTGGTAACATATGCCCCCCCCCCCCCCACTAGGGCGAAGTTGGCGGAGACCGCCACTGCGCCACTGGGGCGCGGGTTAAAGTGCCAAATTAGAGCGCAATCAGCCCAGCCGTTCTCGAGATCTGGAAGCGGCACCCTGCACGTGCGCACGTGCAAGTTGGATCCCAGCTTACTTTTGCAGGGGACCCTACTAATCAGTCCCTAACCGGTTACAAAATTTGAGTTCAATCGGTCCAGCCGTTCTCAAGATCTGGAATCGACCCCTGCACTTGCGCACGTGCAGCAGCACCCCAAACTCTGGGACATGGAACTGACTTACCTAGTGGGTGCCTACCGCTACAAGCAAAGCCACCCCGCCCTGGCAACTGCGTGAAAGCCGCCCTGCCCAGCGGTTGCTATAGTATGAGACTCTCATAAGCGTTACAGGTCGGGCCGGGCCGGGCGGCCGGGCCGCTCATACTGAAATTTTTCCGTTATATGGGAAAGACTACGCTCGCTTCGCTCGCTCCGTAACAATACAATTAAGTTACTGATTAACCTTCCAGGCGGTGGGGGGGGGGCATTTTTTTTGCCCCCCTTTAGTTTTTTCGAGATATCTCGAGAACCGCTGCGCCGATCGTCACCAAACTTTCAGTACCCTCCCTTGAGCAGCTATTGCACATTGTGACCAAAAAATTTCCAAAGGCTATGACAGGTTGGACGCTAATGACGTTAGGGTGACGTCATTTCTGCCATTTTCGACCCAGAAAAAGGTTTCGCGAGAAGAGCTGTCAGGCCTACAGCTTTAGAGATACAGAAAAATGTTTGACATAAAGGTATAGAATATCAAGGGCTACAAAAATGTTGTCTCGGATTTTTGAAATTTTTGGATTTTGACTCCCAAAAATAAAAAATAATTTTTTTGAATATAATAGCCGAAAAATCCAAAAAGTTTTTTGAATTTCGAAAAAACCGGATGATAGGTGATAGTCCCTACCGCTGTCTATCTACATACCAAATTTGAGATCGATACCTCTTTTTTTGGCCAAGTTATAGCGAAAAAAAAAGTGTTCAAAACTGATGACGTCAAATTTTCAAACTCAATTTTTAGCAATTCTAGACCTCGTAGCGCAAAGCAAAGACCACCATTAGACTCCCCGTGACGAGCTGCATCGAACCAATGCCCATTTTATGCAAAAATAACAACTTTGAAAATTGACCTTTTTTGACCTGACCTTGACCTGACCTCCACCAGAAAGTGACCTAAACCGTACCTGATGGTCTTATAACCAACACCATTGAGTTGGAAATGAAAAACTGGCCATAAAACATGCATCGCACAACCTTAGTAAAGTTGGGTTCATGTGGTGACCCTTGGTGACCTTTGGTGACCTGACCTGTGAACTGACCTGGTATGACCAGTGACCTCTAATAGCAACATATGTACTAGACAACTGACGCCCTATCGCTGATTTTCGACAAAATGCGTTTTACTCGGTGTAATAGCCCTTTCCCTAGAAGTCCCGTGAACGGTGAAACATTTATCTTTGACCTGACCTGTGACGTCATCGGTGACCCTGAGGTCAATGAAATTTGGTTTTCAACAAATTTGTGTGGAATCAACAAATTTGACAGGGCTATCGAGCGCCGTTTGAATTTTCCGGATCCGTCCAGTAGTTTCGGAGATACGGGGGGGGGGGCAAAAAATGCCCCCCCCCCCACCGCGCGGAAGGTGGCCGGGATGCCGGGTTAAGAACTACATTAAAATCGTGCCTACCGAGCAGGCCCGGCTGACTTCGCGACTTACCGGGGGTGCTGATGAAACAAGCTCAGGTCTTTTGACGGCCGCAAACCACCCGTGGAAGTGCACGCTATTCACCGTGTGGTTGTAAACAGTCGTCTGAAAAAAAAAAACGGTAGGGAATTCAACAGGCAATAGGCATAGAATACACACACATACACGCCAAATCGTTAAACAGCAATGTCATAGTAACTTCAGCGATAAGTTGCATCGAAAGTAATCTAAATTCTAGACACCCGAACGATCTCTTTATGTAAGTGTGTGGAATTTGGTATGAAATTTAAGCGCAATCAGTCGAATATCAATCGCTCCCGATATCTGTCATAGTAAATACGGGTAGGTACAATAAATATACGCGCCCTGACGTCGCACCCGACGCATTTATCGATTCATTAAAGTCTGGGTGCTGAAGACGGCTAATGGAGATCAGAAAATTGGAATAAAAAATTAGAGTTAGCAGAATCGGAGAAAAAAATGCAACTTCCACATCCATTCCAACATTGAAGAATGATATTCTAATATCGATTCCTGATCATGAGTTTTGCCCCATTTTCACAGCCACCGCTGCTAATAAAGTTGAAACTATTTTATTTTTCACAGTGACATTTCCTGCACATTACAGTCTCCGATGAGCAGATGTATGTAAGTATGTACATTGTACAATACATACTTACGATGAGGAATTTCCATGCGTCAGCCATTGTTGTGTGATTGCTGATGTCGGCACCATATCGCCTACGGCTGTAATCGGCTGCCCTGCATTATAAAAAAAAATCAGAACAGCGGTTAACACCACGTTAACACGACATGTATATACGATTTGCTTGTGTAAATTGCAGAAATCCGGTTCTTAGATCTGTGATCTCAGGTGATATTACTACAAACGCTAATGTGTATGGTCCTGTCGTAAAATATCGAGAGGACGTCAATGGCTTGCATTATGCCCGCATCTTAGGTAGGTTACTCGGCACTCGCAGCAACTAAATTGCTATTCTTTACCAATGCAAAGCTATCACATCTTCCACTTTATATGTAGGATAGTTTTAATTTTTTAAAGCTATGACGTGAATAAGCTAAAAAGAACCACTGAGTGCAGGCCCAGCAAGCCGATACAGCTGTGGGTATTGCTGCTCTGTTTTTGGCGACAGCCGTTCCACCTGGCCTTGCTCGTCGAGTTTAACACAGCTGCTTCACGGTGTGTCGCGGCCAGCGAAACTTTCCCACTTTAATTACTACACCGTGTTCCTAATAGAGCACAAGCAGCGGGCAATGGTTACGGGTTCTGGCTGCACCGGGGTCGTAGCGGTTAGCCCGCGCCCTGATTGTGCCTCAGCCAGCTTCGCCATGATGGGGAAGGGGGGGGGGGGGCATTCGATCACACCCGATTTTCTTGAAAACTAAGAAAGCTAGAAAGATACCGAAAAAGAAAAGCATTAGACAATTCATCACTGTAAATTCTCTCAGAGTTAGAAAGGTCATTTTTATCAGGCTATCGCTAAGGTCACTGTAGATTACCAACAGTAGAATTATTACGATTTTTTCGATTTTGCCTTTTTACAAATCAATGGATAACTTGTGAACCAGAAGAACTAGGGAGCCGCAGAGTGGCACATTCGACAGCTCTTTCAAAACTCTTTCGCTCGCGTGTTCTCAGTTTTGCCCCGCGTTCGATGTCTCTCGGACGACGAAGATTCTACGTCGTCCGGCCAATCCCGTTGAAGGTCAGCAGGGGCTCGGCTGTGGTTATGGAACGTGATTGGCCGGACGGCGTAGAATCTTCGCCGTCCGAGAGACATCGAACCCGGGGTTGATCTTAGGTCAACAGTGTGGAACACAGAGGGCAAACACCACCGAACTACATAGACAGATTTCGCAGAAACAATTGTTCCGTAACAACTTTTACACCAATCATTTTATAGCATTTACTTTATCGGTATCCTACATCGCTCGTCAAGTCGCGCCGAATAAACTATATGTTGACCTGAAAAGGTCAACTTCAAAATTTGACCTCAGGTAGAAGTCCTGATCTGTCTTGAAAAGGTCGTTTTGCATTAAACCGATCCGTATTGGTGACCGGAACATAGTTCAGGTGTATTCATCGCTCTATCATGCCACCATCAGGCATCAATTATCAAAAGTAGGTACTATTCTGGAAAAATTCTGGTCATCTTTTGTGACCTAACACAACGTTTTCAGTGGCCACTGGCCGTGAGCTATACCTTGTCCATTGCATATAGGTAAAATGGTCATGTTTCTATTAATATAACCGGTCCCGTAGCTCAGTTGGTAGAGCGTTGGACACCGCGTGGTGAGAGCACGCGTTCCCGGTTACAACATTCCGGGTTCGAAGCGCGACGGGTGCTTGACATTTATGGGCCTCCTAACAGGTATGATTGCGGTTGGTGGCAGTCCGTAGCCAGGTGAAGTCAGTGAGGGGACCGGCCGTGCGCGGCTATGTGCGCACGTTAAACTTTTGACTCTAAATTCTGCCATAGAACTGGAATTGCGCGATCGGAGGGTAGATAGAGGGCAAGGTCACCGCAACAAGCTTCGCTTAGCGGTGGCTCTGTCCTTGTGAATCCTTCCCATCAAAATGTTCGGACTAAATTTATAAAAAAAAATCTTGTGGTTCTGACGTTTTTGCTCAAAGCAGGGGGCATTTGTACTTTTACCCTATTGTCTTATAATGGCGAGGTCATAAATCAGACCTGACCGCAGGTCATAGATTTGAAAACACAATATTTACAAAAAGTTAGAACTGATACCTTCATGCAATTCACCGAGTTCCAACCTTCTAGGAAACAAGCTGTACGAATAATACGATTGCAAAGCTATGTGGAGGCACGGTTGGACTTGAGCCTAATGCCTTGACCTCAGTTGACCTGGGGTAAAAACTTTAAGACACAATGAAATATTGGTGATTGATAAGCTCTGTCACGTTTCGCGGCGCTGCGAGTCGCGGTTTTCAATATGTTTAGAGTAATTCATAATTCATTATTTTCAAATGCTCATATTTTATTGAAAAGCCACGGTGGGATAAGCGAAGAAAAACTTATTTAATGAAATATAGTATCCCACAAGATGTATGTGCCTATGTCTCTCGAATTCAGAGCTGTGTCCTACACCCTAGTGCGTTGCTTTCGATACAGACCATTGGACGACGTCGGGAGAGCTCTTTCTCCATCCCATCTCGAGCATCAGGTCGTACATGACGTAGTTCTGGAAGATGCCCTCCATCGTCAGACCGGTGCCGACCATCGAGCTGTTGGCGATGGCGCGGCCCTCGAACGGTCCCTGCACACAGACAGGACGAAGTCAAACAGACAAACAGGACAGGTCATATTAGAGAGAGAAAATATATGAAAAATTGACCTCTCCTCGACATTTAAAATTATTTGAATAGCCAAATATTACTGTATTGATATTTCGACCAACAGGTCTTCTTCAGAATAAGACAATGTACACAAGTGTACGAGAACGAGAATACAATAATTGATGCAGCAGACTTATTCCCGCGGTTTTCAAATTCAAAAATTAGCGCGGTTTATCTCGCGCTCATAAAACAGTGGTACAACCTTTTTAACAACTTCAAAATATCACAGAATATGCATGAAAACACATCGCTTGACACATCGAGTTCAAAGGTCAACACTCCAAAGTCAAAGGTCAAAGTACTAGGTTCAAATGCCAGACAAGAAGGTCGAGTTCAAGGTTAGAGTTCAACGTATCCATGACCATCAAGGTCAAACCATAGCCAGATAATATATATTAACACATGGTTTCCCGTGTGTAAATGGTTTTAACGCACGACGTGGATGGATTGGAGCACGAGTGTGTTAATGCACGAGTGAAACGAGTGCATTAACGCACAAGTGCTCCATTCCATCCACGAGTGCGTTAAAACCATTTATGCACGGAAACCATGTGTTAAACTAATTAATACATGCTTAACGGTGCGAATTTAAATGAAAATTAAACCTAGTCCATGCCACTAAAAAGGACCCTTTATGGGAAATCTTAGAATAAAGTCAATGACCCTTCCGAAAAACTTCAGTCGAGAAAGTCATCACTGCACGCGCGTGCACCAATTTAAATTGGTGCACGGCTACCTTCGAATTAACGCACGGTTAATCTCCAGTGAACGCACCGTAAAGTATGTATTAATGTAAATTATACAATATACACATATATACAGATCTTCATTCGCACTGATTGTTCACAAGTCCAGTAAAGCGCATTACAAATTTAGCAATACAAAATTGGCCATAGGAAGCATTTGACATTTCCACGATCACACTTAATACATTTCCAAATCTTCACTTATTTATATCTACATGATAGGCCATGAGGACACCTTTGAGTTTAGCCTTGGGTCAAGCTGCCTGATGAGTAGTGATTCCGCTATTTTGCGGTCAGGATGGTCTCTTGCCCGGTACAAAACTTCAACATCTATGTGTGTGAGGTTGCCTGTAGTCTGTGGGTGACAGGTACGAAAATGGTCTCCTAAGGGTGTATCCTGTTTTTGGCTCGTCATATCACGTAAATGTTCATTGAACCGCAGCCTCAAGGGCCTTTTCGTTTCCCCAATGTACTCCATTTGACCTACATCAGAAGCACAAAGTTTGCATTTTAGCCTATAAACTACGTTTTTTTGTGTGCATAGTCCGCGAAAATCTGTCTTACATAGATTACGTCTGTTGCCGCCCGGGCATTGAGGTTTGGAAAAGGCCGACCGCACTAACTGTTTCTTTAACTTTTTATCATTACGCCATGCTACTTTCACGTCCAGCCCCGATTTCTTGACCACTTTTTTCACCTTGCATAGCAAATCCTCATCGATGTACGGTAAGGTAAGGAAGCCATCCTCCCCCAACGTCTGTTTCGGTGCCCTACCCTTTGACCTCGCTTGTCTGACCTGCCTTAGAAGTTTTTTCAACAGCTGTGCCGAATAACCATTACCCAGTAGCAATGCCCTAATCTTGCTCACGTAGGGCCAAACTGGAGACGGAACTGTATATCAAACCAACGAACTCGGGCATAGTGTTACATGCTACCTCAGCACACCCCTCAGCTACTAAGCATAGCATGATTAGGAACATGTTCCATAGAGCCTACAACAATATGCTTCCAGCACAAGTAGGGCATTGCTACTGGGTAATGGTTATTCGGCACAGCTGTTGAAAAAACTTCTAAGGCAGGTCAGACAAGCGAGGTCAAAGGGTAGGGCACCGAAACAGACGTTGGGGGAGGATGGCTTCCTTACCTTACCGTACATCGATGAGGATTTGCTATGCAAGGTGAAAAAAGTGGTCAAGAAATCGGGGCTGGACGTGAAAGTAGCATGGCGTAATGATAAAAAGTTAAAGAAACAGTTAGTGCGGTCGGCCTTTTCCAAACCTCAATGCCCGGGCGGCAACAGATGTAATCTATGTAAGACAGATTTTCGCGGACTATGCACACAAAAAAACGTAGTTTATAGGCTAAAATGCAAACTTTGTGCTTCTGATGTAGGTCAAATGGAGTACATTGGGGAAACGAAAAGGCCCTTGAGGCTGCGGTTCAATGAACATTTACGTGATATGACGAGCCAAAAACAGGATACACCCTTAGGAGACCATTTTCGTACCTGTCACCCACAGACTACAGGCAACCTCACACACATAGATGTTGAAGTTTTGTACCGGGCAAGAGACCATCCTGACCGCAAAATAGCGGAATCACTACTCATCAGGCAGCTTGACCCAAGGCTAAACTCAAATGTGTCCTCATGGCCTATCATGTAGATATAAATAAGTGAAGATTTGGAAATGTATGAAGTGTGATCGTGGAAATGTCAAATGCTTCCTATGGCCAATTTTGTATTGCTAAATTTGTAATGCGCTTTACTGGACTTGTGAACAATCAGTGCGAATGAAGATCTGTATATATGTGTATATTGTATAATTTACATTATCTGGCTATGGTTTGACCTTGATGGTCATGGATACGTTGAACTCTAACCTTGAACTCGACCTTCTTGTCTGGCATTTGAACCTAGTACTTTGACCTTTGACTTTGGAGTGTTGACCTTTGAACTCGATGTGTCAAGCGGTGTGTTTTCATGCATATTCTGTGATATTTTGAAGTTGTTAAAAAGGTTGTACCACTGTTTTATGAGCGCGAGATAAACCGCGCTAATTTTTGAATTTGAAAACCGCGGGAATAAGTCTGCTGCATCAATTATTGTATTCTCGTTCTCGTACACTTGTGTACATTGTCTTATTCTGAAGAAGACCTGTTGGTCGAAATATCAATACAGTAATATTTGGCTATTCAAATAATTTTAAATGTCGAGGAGAGGTCAATTTTTCATATATTTTCTCTCTCTAATATTCATAATGTTCCTCGCAAGAGCGCTCCAAAGAATAAGTTCTAAACAGGACAGGTCCTTCAGACAAACAGCAGACGATACGGGTCTTGGAAACAGAACACAGAAACAGAAAACAAACAGGACGATCCCTACAAAAAACATATTAGTGATCTGCAGAGGAACAGAACAGGTTTCTAGAGATAAAATCAGAACAAGAGCCTTCAGACAAACAGAGCACAAACGGAGCGGTTCCTGCCCTGCAGACAAACATTGCATAACCTACAGAGAAACAGAACAGAAACAAAACAGTCCCCACAGACACACAGAACATAAACGGAACACGGTTCCTGAAGAGAAACAGAGCAGGGTCCATGCATATTAACAGAACAAGGTCTTGGAAAAAAGCAAATCACAAACAGAACTATCTCTGTGGGACTTACAGACACACATAACACAAACAGAGTGGTCCCTGCAGGCAAACAGAACGGCAAACAGAACGATAACAGGTCTGTAGTCAAACAAAACACGGCCCTAAAACCAATAGAACAGGAGCCTTTGGAAAAACGGGGTTCTGCATGCACAAAAAAGGTCCCTGCAGACACACAGACCTGGAATCTGTACACAAGCAGAACAGGACACTGAAGCTGTAGACGCAGCGTCACGTGGTGCGTTCGCCGGTAGTCGAATACCTATTACATTTTAATAGGCACTAAGGTAGCAGAACAAAACAGCTAACACCGCCAGTCACTACAGCTAGAGCCTGCTGTAGAGAAACCGATTCTGGCGCTGACCTTGACAATCTGGTCGACGGTGCCCTGGAGGCCGAGCTGTCCGCCAAAGTTGTGCAGCATGCACCAGATGAACGGCTGCCCGTAGTACGAGTCGAACTGGCCGTAGAGCGGCTTCACGTCCGAATGCAGATCCAGCACGATCATCCGGCCCTGTCGCACACAGAGCCGCCGCGCATCAGAACAGGTACATCAGATCGGACACAGATCGTTCACTGTGCCGCCATCAGAACAGGTACGGCACGATCATCCGGCCCTGACACAGATCGTTCACTGTGCCGCCATCAGAACAGGTACGGCACGATCATCCGGCCCTGGTGCACACATAACGTTCACTGTGCTGCACATCAGGACGGCATGTCTGCCGATGCAGGTGCGCACAGATGAACAACACGTGAACGGAATCTCATGGACTACCAGAACATGTTCAAGGGTCTCTGATTTACACATGTTTGTTATTCGCTTGTCTTCGATAAATAATGAATCTGGTGATGATGAATTTGTTCAGAGGTTCTCTGTGACAAGACAAACACTACTCGGACCATTAGCCATCAGGGCATTTACCGAGTTTTCTCAGGACTACTGCCGGAAGCCGTATTAGACTGACTGTCTGCAGGACTGTGCGACTGTGATTCTACGGCAGAAGCCGTCACCAGACATTATATTCTACCATTATATTCTGATTCTACCGGGTGTTCATTAATGAATGGAATAACGTAGCTACGTCACGTGATAACAATAAATCACGTACGCGCAATTTTTGCCTTGTTAATATGAAGCATTGGCTTTATCATTTTTTAATACATGATAACTTTAATCACGGTGTCATCCAAACGCTTGTGAATGGCTCTGGTTTCGAAGAGCCCAAATCGGCACTTCAAGACAAACTCGCCGTTCAATTATGAACAAGAGGGTTGGGTTGTGGAGAAGTGTGCCGGGTTGGAAAGTCTTACCGTGGTTAGGCGGGCTTTCCGCCTTAACCCTCGCCGGCCGAGGGGGGGGGGGGCGGGTGCCGCCCCCCCCATAGGGTTTTTTCGCAATAGCTCCGAACACGCTGGCGATAGAGAGCTGAAACTTGGCATACCTGACCTTTGATCCAAGCCGCATCTTTTGACACCAACCGCATTTTTGGGTCAGGTCAGGTCACTGACCTATGACGTCATAAGTGAACCTCTGCACGGTCTTCAGATGTCGCAACTTCGCAACGCCCTCACTGCCAGAGGAGATGTCACAGGGAAATGAAACTTGCAGGATCTAGTATCCATTATGAGTCTCACAACTTGTATATCTCGGATTTTTCCTAAAGGTCATATGAGGTCAGGTCATTTTCGTGACCTCACCATTATAAGTCAATGGGGAAAAATGAAAACTGCTATTCTGGCGCCGGGAACGATCTCCAACTATCTCAAGCACACGGAATCGTGATTTGATGCACTCCTTGCAAGGTTAGATGCGTCATTTTTGCAATGTTGACCTTGCGTGACGTCATTTATGACGTCATCAAGGTCATATTAGTTTTTCGTCAATAACTCCCGACCAAATTGAGCTAGCGAGTCGAGAAAGCCACCAATGGACTCAGGAAGACCTGCCGAATCGAATGATATGCGACATGACCTCTTTCGACCAACTTCGTGACCTGGGGGTGCTGACCTGACCTTGACCTGAGGTCAACACCCTAAGTTGACCTGACCCGAACAAAAAGTATATCATTCGACGCGCCTGAGCAAGGCGAACACGATGCTGCCAAAATCGCGGCTCTGCGGCCGTTTTTTGCGAAGTTATTCACCAAAAACTGAACCGTACCCTGGGGCACTTGACCTGACCTCAGAGGTCACCGGTTGACCTAGGACCTCAAAATCGGGTACCAATCTCTGCGTCTCGTAACGGCGCACACGCTCGTTTTTTCCGCGACGCGCTAGCTCCACCAGGGGCGAAACGGCGAGGGGGGGTCGTACCCGCCCCCCCCCCCTCGGCCGGCGCGTATGTAGAAAACCAATAGGTCCGGCGAGGGTTAAGTTCTCTCCGAGAAAACCAGCAGCAATACTACATCTGAATGCTTTTCAGCGTTTGGTGGAAAGATTTAGGATGGTTGCAGCGACACGGCCATGTGTGCGCTCCGGGCGCCAGCCGATGGCCCCTGATGAAATGGAACAGGTCAAGGATTTCTTCCGGAAAAATGCCACAGCTCATAATCGGCAGGCGTGCGAAGAGCTTAAAATGTCCATTAGAAAAGTATTGAAGATCCTAATTATGTCATGGCCTCCCTCGATCGAAGTTCAACGATCTCGCGCGGAAGTGCCATCTGCACTGGCCCGCATACAGTCCCGACCTGTCCTGCCTGGATTTCTCGTTCTGGACCCAAGCTTTGGATCGCGTGATGGAATCGGAGCCGGAAACAATCAAAGAACTGAAGAAGGTCGTGGAGGACTTCGCCAGAGCATAAGCAAGGAGCAGCTGAGGAAGACGGCCCGGCACACACAGCGCCGGGCAGAGCCGTGCGTGGCCGAGCGAAGGTGTTACTTTGAGCCCTGTAAGAGACACAAGTGGCAAGCGGTGATCGCGGTGATGTCATCATAAATGATCAGCCCTCCTGAAAATGCATTGTGTGATTTGATAACGTGAGATGAATATAAATATCTTTAATATTTATATCTTTCTGGTGCCTACCTACTTTATTCCATTCATTAATGAACACCCGGTAGTATTAGGGACCGTAAGACAGTGCTGGTCAGTGGTCACTGGACTCATCAGAGACCACTGTTGGAGATCGTATATAAACGTGACCAATAACCACGAGGACTACATCACTGAACTGCATAGGGTGACTTTTATACCACAGGGAACATCCGCATCCACAGGACTGTGCCTGACTGAAGGAGTTAACCAAGGCTATACATTTAACGTTCACTACAGCCCATACGCGGCGATGGCCTCCCTCGCACGGGGCATACGGAGCATTTGAGCCCGGCACCCATGGCCGCAGGTGAGAAGGCAGCACATACTCACTGTTGGCACTGAGGTCAGATATGCCTTCGCCTGTGGAACTTCCCAGAAGGAATTCAAGAAGAGCCACCCTTGCATTAACCTGAAACGCAAACAGAAAATCGAGTAAATGGCAAATGCGTTAGGTAGTTCGAACTTAAAATAGACACACAAAATGAGCCAAAACCCACCATGTCGATTTCGAAGATTCATGCAAGACACTGAAGTTTTCGATTAATTTCTTTCCCAAACTACTCTCTTGTACCACCCTCGAAAAGACTTCTACGGCGTTAGATAACGAGTTGAAGAAAACGCTGTGGTAAATTGCTGTGTATGAGTATATTTTCTTTTTGGGAGGGAGGGGTAAAATAGAAAGGGTGGGAGAGAGGGAGGGAGAAAGAAAAACAGAGTTAAACAGAGAAAAATAAAGGCAGATAAAAAAGAAATAAAGACAGGAAAAAGGAAAAAAGCAAAAAAAGAAAGAAAGCGAGAGAGAGAGAGAGAGAGAGAGAGAGAGAGAGAGAGAGAGAGAGAGAGAGAGAGAGAGAGAGAGAGAGAGAGAGAGAGAGAGAGAGAGAGAGAGAGAGAGAGAGAGAGAGAGAGAGAGAGAGAGAGAGAGAGAGAGAGAGAGAGAGAGAGAGAGAGAGAGAGAGAGAGAGAGAGAGAGAGAGAAAAAATTACAATGAACATGCAGCCGATAGTTAGTGCATACGAAATGTCGCTTGCAAATCGCGTTTACCTGCTTATGGACAGGAGCGCAAGATGCGAACTTTGTACAACCGTTCATGTTGTTCAGTGGTTTCGTAGTTACCACAAATTCTAACGAATCGGAAACTTCGTCTGCAGTTGATCAGGAAAACCATCCTTAAAGTCAGAATAGTCCACCGATGATTTACAATTAATCTTATAACATTCTGCAAAGTAATTTCATGAAAAATATAAAACTTTTAAATAGCGGAAGGCAGATAATGCAATTTACCAAAATTATAGGTATTTCAATGGACAGAAAGTCCCTAAAGAGCTCGGTAACCTAGAGCAGGACGAAGCATAAGTGATTTTTTTCTGTATCCGTTGTCGTCAGCACACCGGGCTCAAAAACAGCTTATACCCCATCAGCTAATGGATTGTTCTTTTCCCTCTGGCCAAAAACAATTGTCTAGTCAGATCGCAAAATCAAACAAAGTGCGTCCTCAGACGCCTGCTGGGCTGCTGGGAGACCGACCGTTGCAGCTATTCTGCACTGTCGCCGGTCCAATCACGACCTGGGACGCTGCTCGCGACGGTGTGCAAGGCTTCAGATCGATCGCTCTCCGCTTCAGCGCAGCGCACGCGCATGTGAAGCCTTCACCTTCGCGGAAATCTCCTTATGGTGGTAGGCAGGTCGTCGTGTGTTGTAGGTTTGAGGAGCTCATACAAGGTAACAATCAATCTAATAAGTTGATGTAGGTAAGTAGGCATTGTGCTTACAATCCCTGCTTTGCATACTCTACTGATTATCATTGCGTTCAACATTTGGATTGTTCATTTAGGTGCTATTTTCGTTTGCGATCCACCTGAGGTTGGAAAACGACGATATTTAACCCACGCCCCGCTGGGGGGGGGGGGCGAAAAACGGGAGCGAAAAACTGGCGAAAACGCTGGCGAAAAACGGGAGGGGGCAGATTCTGCCCCCTCCCGTTTTTCGCCAATAATGTCTAAACGCGTTGCGCCAGCGACGTCAAACTTTCCGTACCACGTACCGGGACGGCTGGGACCACTTCTGCGCCTGCCATCTATCGGGCAGTGCTTGGAACTACAGCGGGCGCCGGCCGGCCGGGCCGCGCGGCGCCGTTACGGGGCTATGGAGGCGAATGAAGTGGTGTAAAACCAGACGAATTTTACGCTTGTAAAGCAAAAACCGAAAAATGTACACTCACCACGGTGTTCAGGAAAGTACTGGGAACAATATGGATATAATTTAAAGCTAGTAAGATGCGAGCTGTTGGTTCCCTAGAGCAGTATTTACATACTTGTCGGAGATATGACTTTAACATTACTGGAGCTTCTAAACTGCGCTCGCAAAGTACTTGATTGTAAATATTTCCATTTAGAGGCAAAAATCTAAAAATGTACAGTCAGAGCGTTGTTCCCAATGCCTCTAGGTACATAATGAGCATAAATTTAGCTTGAAGTCTCATCACACATTGGTTCCCAGTCCAGTTTAAAACGACACTTTGTGCCGCAGAGCCTATCTCTTCCAATGGATGGCGGCTGGGTGGCGGTTGTAGTGGGGGACAAGGCAATTCTTGAGTGAAATGAAATCATTTTCTTTCATAGAAGAATTTTGAAGAACTTGTAATAATTGACAAATGATCGTTAATTACGGCGCATAATTTAAAGTTCATGGCAAATGAAAAGATTTTAAACAATGATTGTGAACCCCAGTACTGCCGCGCGAGTAAGCCAGTACTCGACGCACGGTCTGCCCGCCACTTCTGAAAATGGTCCGCGGCCGGCGGGCCGCGACCCGACACGATATAATACATCAATTTGACACGTTCCCTTAACCCGCGCGGGGCTGGGGGGATAGATTTTACCCCCCTCGCGAATTTTTGCAATATCTCAAAAACGGCGGCGCCAAACTTTCAGTACCTTTTCTTACATCAATTTGACATGTTCCCCCCTGAAAATTTGAGCGAAATTCGTCGGATTTTTTTTTTTGAGAAATTGACGTTTTAGTGACGTCATGTTCGCCATTTTCGCCTCAAAAACGGCAAAAGTTCAAGCGCCGCTAACATCTTCATTTTTAAAGGAATCAAGACGTAACAAAAAAAAGGATATACGTAATTCTACTTTGTCTATCAAATGGCTATCTCGGTTTTTTGAAAATTTTGGATTTTGGCCCAAATTTTTTCAAAAAAACAGACTTTTTTGGGAAAATAGCTATAAAATCCAAAAATTTTGAGTGTATCGAAAAAACCGGAATATATGTCAGAGAAGTGGTCTATGTGCACCTACATACCAAGTTTTAGAAGAATCGGTTAAAAAATGTGGGAGTTATTCAAAATTGTATGACGTCACGACACACAAAAAATTTGAAAAATGACTTTTTTGGAAGTTCTAGACCTCGTACGGAAACAAAAATAGCACCATTCGATTCGCCGTGAAAAACTGCATCAGATAGACACCTTTTTAGGCCTTAACAACCAACCTCAAAATTTGACCTCACTTGACCTGACCTTGACCTGACCTCGACCTGAAATTCATCCAGAGGTGGTCCATATCACTTATTGAGTGTGCCTATTGAATTCTATAAGTAAAATGACCCATAAAACATGTGTCGCACATGCCCTTTTCTATATTTTGTTTTTGGTGACCTGACTTGACCTGACCTGACCTTGACCTTGACCTCTGAATGATATTGTATGCAACGAATATTGTCTTGGTAGCCTAAGAACACGTTTTGGGCGATCAGTCTCAGTCCATGACTCCATTCTTCGGCAACTACGGTGCAAGGCCGATACTGTAGGAACTTGCAATTTGTACCCTTGACCTGACCTTGACCTTGACCTCAAACTTAAAATTAAGTACATGCTTTTAGTTGTTCGTGATGAGATCTTTCGATTGGCGTTTGAATTTTCCAAATCGGACCATTAGTTCGGGAGATAACAGGGGGGGGGGGTAAAATTTACCCCCCCAGCCCCGCGCGTTCGGCTGGAGACCCCAGCCCCGCGCGGGTTAAAATTTGAGCGAAATCCGTCGGAAAATGTTTGAGAAAATGACGTTTTAGTGACGTCATGTTCGCCATTTTCGCCTCAAAAACGGCAAAATTTCAAACGCCGCTAACATCTTCGTTTTTAAAGGAATCAAGACGTAACAAAGAACGTTATACGTGATTTTACTTTGCCTATCAAATGGCTATCTCGGTTTTTGAAAATTTTGGATTTTGGCTCAATTTTTTTCTTTAAAAAAACTGATTTTTTTGGGAAAATAATTATAAAATCCAAAACTTTTGAGTGTATCGAAAAAACCCGAATACATGTCAGAGAAGTGGTCTATGTGCACCTACATACCAATTTTAAGAAGAATCGGTTCAAAAATGTGGGAGTTATTCAAAATTTTATGACTTCACGACACACATGAAAAAAGATTTTTTTTTGGAAGTTCTAGACCTCGTACGGAAACATAAAGCACCATTCGATTTGCCGTGACAAACTGCATCAGATAGACACCTTTTTAGGCCTTAACAACCAACTTCAAAATTTGACCTCACTTAACCCGCGCCCTGGTGGGGTCTGTTTATAACGCGACCTGGTGGGGGGGGGGGGGGGGCTATTTTTTGCCCCCCGTCGTATCTCCGAAACTACTGGACGGATCCGGAAAATTCAAACGGTGTTCGAAAGGCCTGTCAAATTTGTCGAGAGAAACCAAATTTCATTGACCTCGGGGTCACCGATGACGTCACAGGTCAGGTCAAAGATGAAATGTTTCACCGTTCCCGGGTCTGCTAGGGAATGCGCTATAACACCGAGGAAAACGCATTTTGTCGATAATCAGCGATAGGGCGTCAGTTGCCTAGTATATATTTTGCTATTGGAGGTCACTGACAATACCAGGTCAGGTCACAGGTCAGGTCACCAAGGGTCACAGGTCAGGTCACATGAGCCCAACTTTACTAAGGTTGTGTGATGCATGTTTTATGGCCAATTTTTCATTTCCAACTCAATGGTGTTGGTTATAAGACTATCAGGTACGGCTTAGGTCACTTTCTGGTGAAGTTCAGGTCAAGGTCAGGTCAAGGTCAGGCAAAAAAGGTCAAATTTTAAAGTTGATAGTTTTGCATAAAATGGGTATCGATTCGATGCAGCTCGTCACGGGGAGTCTAATGGTGGTCTTTGTTTTGCGCTACGAGGTCTAGAATTGCTAAAAATTGAGTTTGAAAATTTGACGTCATCAATTTTGAACAGTTTTTTTCGCTATAACTTCGCCAAAAAAAGAGGTATCAATCTCAAATTTGGTATGTAGATAGAAGGCGGTATGGCCTATCACATATATTCCGGTTTTTGCGAAATTCATTTTTTTTTGGATTTTTTGGCTATTATATTCAAAAAATCTAGTTTTTGATTTTTGGGGTTCAAAATTCATTAATTTCAAAAATCCGAGATAGCAGTTTTGTAGCCCTATCAATTCTACAGCTTTTATGTCTTAATCATTTTTCTCTATTTGCAAAGCTCTTGGCCTGACAGCTCTTCCCGCGAAACCCTTTTTTGGGCCGAAAACGGCAGAACATGACGTCACTCTGACGTCATTTCCGGCCAACCTATCATAGCCTTTGGAAAAAAATTTTGGTCACAATGTGTAAAATTGGTGTCCGGGAGGGTACTGAAAGTTTGGTGACGATCGGCGCGGCGGTTCTGGAGATATATCGAAAAGTCTGGAGGGGGGGGGGGGGGCAAAAAATAGCCCCCCCCACCAGGTCGCGGGTTAACCTGACCTTGACCTGACCTCGACCTGAAATTCATCCAGATGTGGTCCATATCACTTATTGATTGTGTCTATTGAATTCTATGAGTAAAATGACCCATAAAACATGTGTCGCACATGCCCTTTTCTATAGTTTGTTTTTGGTGACCTGACCTGACCTGACCTGACCTTGACCTTGACCTTTGAATGACATTGTATGCAACGAATATTGTCTTGGTAGCCTAAGAACACGTTTTGGGCAATCAGTCTCAGTCCATTCTTTGGCAACCACGGTGCAAGGCTGATAATGTAGAAACTTGCATCTTGTACACTTGACCTGACCTTGACCTGACCTTGACCTGACCTTTGACCTACTAAAGCAAACAAATTTGGGCTCGTAAGATCCGCCTTGTTGAGAGCTTTCGATTGCCGCTTTCCCCGTCTTTCTACGACCATCGGTTCGGAAGTTAGACAGGGGGCCGGGGGCAGAATCTGCCCCCCCCCCCCCCAGCAGTCGCGTATGAATAGCGAGAGGGGACTCTACTTATTTTTCTGCGATACGTTCTAAAAACCTATCTGGGCCAAACTTGCAGTAATTATCTGCTGACGAGTAAAATCTCGTAGCCTAGGGCGCCGGAAAGTAGGAAAGTTTTGGACTGGTAGCAGCCCCGTTTTTCATAAGCGGGGAGCCATCTGCCCCAGCTCTCCCGATGTTGACGCTCATGGGTAGGCCGAAGAAGAACTCAATTTGCTTCCTTAGCGGCCGCCAGAGTCCGAAATTTGAACAGTTCAAATGTCGATGATCTTGTTCTTGACCTGACCAATGACCTCACCAATCATCTGGAAGCTAACACAGTTATATTTCATTCGGTAGTTTTTTTCATGGACTAGGTCAAACGCTGTTTGAATTTTGAAAATTAGAGCAGTACCTAATTGTCTAGTAATAATCTCACCATAACCGTTTCTCATCAGTCTGCGGATCTACACAAACTGCGGATCTCAACAGACTGCAGGTCTCACCAGACTGTGTGCGGGTCTCACCAGACTGCCGGTCTGACTAGACTAATAATCACATCAGGCTGAGAGTCTCTCCAGATTGCGGGTCTCACCAGACTGCAGGTCTCACTAGACTGTGTGTCCCACCAGACTGTGGGTCCCACCAAACTGCCTACGTGTCTCACCACACTGTCTTCGGGTTTCATTAGACTGCCTGCGGGTCTCATCAGTCTGCAGATCTCACTAGACTGTGTGTCCCACCAAACTGCGGGTCCCACCAGACCGCGGTCCAACCAGACTGTGGATCTCACCAGACTGCCTGCGGTTCTCACTAGACTGCGGGTCTCACCAGTCTGCCCGTGGATCTCACCAGACTGCCTGTGGGTCTCACCAGACTGCGCATCTCACCAGACTGCGGATCTCACCAGTCTGCCTGTGGGTCTCACTAGACTGCCTGTGGATATCACCAGACTGCCTGTGGGTCTCACCAGACTGCCTGCAGGTCTCACCAGACTGCGGGTCTCACCAGTCTGCCTGCGGGTCCCACCAGACTGCCTGCGGGTCTCACCAGATTGCTGGTCTCACCAGTCTGCCTGCGGGTCTCACCAGACCGCCTGTGGTGGGTCTCACCAGTCTGCCTGCGGGTCTCACCAGACTGCCTGCGGTTCTCCCCAGACTGTGGGTCTCCCCAGACCACCTGCGGGTCTCACCAGACTGCCTGCGGGTCTCACCAGACTGCCTGCGGGTCCCACCAGACTGCCTGCGGGTCTCACCAGACTGCCCGTTGGCCTCACCAGACTGCCTGCGGGTCTCACCAGATTGCGGGTCTCACCAGACTGCCTGCGGGTCGGCGCCGGTCATGGCCGCCAGCGTGGCGTTGCCGGCCGCAGCCAGGTAGTCCGGGTCAGACGAGGGCGGCGTCATCTCGTTAAACGAGTCGCAGTTGTAGACGTGTTCGGTGCCGTTAAACTCCCGCTCCAGCTGCGGAACATCACACAGAACAGCGGTCACGTGCCTGTGTGCTGTATCGCTTCTTCACACACTTCGAGATGGTAGAGATAAAACGACAATACACACACCAAAGCTTTGTGAGATGACGTACTGCTATTCTACACGCCACTTGTGTTTGGTTCCTAGTGATGAATAACTAGTAACTATACATGCATTATAATATAACCTTTTGAAACTGATTTTCCACTTCTATTCTGCACCGGAAAGCAAACAAGACTAGAATTTCATTCAATATGACTAAAGACTAAAATAAAGACTAATATTATTTGAACAGGCGAAGGGCAGCACTACGTACGAAAAATCATTCAACATTTTCTTTGCATGAAACAATATCAGTCGCTCTCGTCGCATCAGTTATTATTGTTTTGCGTTACGTTAACCGCTTTTAGTGTGAAAAGCCACTGTGTCCTGTGCTCCGTGGTCACCTTACGTATACGTTATGATTACACGCCACTCATAATGTGGTCATTTAATTGAGTTACCTCCTGAATGGCGAGCTGGCCGATCTTCTGGTATAAAGGGGAGTTCGGCTGCAGGAAGGATGTGCACGAATAGCTGGAGTTCATGTGCCCCCAACAGCGGAGGCGCGAAACGGGAGCCTTGGGAAACACCCTGCAACATTGCCACTTACCGTTACTGGCGGCACAAGCACTAAGCAGTGTAAAGACGGCAAGAGTGCAACTAGACAACGGAAATACCACCAGGGACAACATAGACCAGTCGACAGGGATGAAAAAGCCCAGATGTGTTACCAGATGTGGCATAGACAACTTCACCAGGACAACGAAGACCCGTCACCAGGGACAACATATACGTAGATCAGTCGTCAGAAACGAGAAACGAAGACAAGCTGGGGGAGCGGCAGCAACAACTTCACATCTCACTCAAAGCATATACGTTTTTCATAAACACATTGGTAACAAATGCTGATGTGCGTGCACTAGATGTTATGAGAAGCGGAGACTGAATCTCACCTCGGCTACAAAGAGATTTCCTATCTGTTCATACATGGGGTCCACAGGATTCAGAAACAGAGTGGAAGAGTAGGTTTCGTTGAAATCGTTCCACGGTTCCAGCTGGGTGATATTACTGTCCGGGAACACCCTGAAAATAACATCAATCCGCCGTTTGTGTCTCGTAATCATCGGGAAGAAGTTTGGAAGAACAAAATATTTACGAAAGATTTTAGTATAAAATCGTACTTCCGATACACTTCCAGTCACTTCCATCTAAGAAAACAAAATTATATGCATTATAATGCAAAATTATAAGCACCGTTTCGAAAGTCATGCATTAAGGTAAGCGTTGAGTATAGCTTCTGCCCCCTCCCCCCCCCAAATAGATCACACAGCGATCGTTTTTTTTTTCTATTTCCCGAGCGACATTTTCCTGCTATTGATACACTCTGGGGCGATCATTTGATTTCAAAGTTTGGTAACCGGAAGTACAAATAACACGATAAGCGTCGGATGTAGATTGTTCGACAACAAATATTTCATGCCTACTGGTTACGCGTATGAACCTCTTGTGGCGCAGTCCTACCTCAACACGATTATTCGTAGTCTAGCTATGTTGCAGTAATGTTAATGTCAATCTATGTGCATGTTTCCTACATTACTTGTTATTTAGGATGCCCGAAAGTCCATTTTGCATGTGTCAAATTATCAAACTCTGCAGCCTTTCTTTACCCTTGTCTCTCTCTCTCTCTCTCTCTCTCTCTCTCTCTCTCTCTCTCTCTCTCTCTCTCTCTCTCTCTCTCTCTCTCTCTCTCTCCCTCCCTCTCTCTCTCTCTCTCTCTCTCTCTCTCTCTCTCTCTCTCTCTCTCTCTCTCTCTCTCTCTCTCTCTCTCTCTCGGGGTTCCCTATTTCATATACAAGGTTGAGAAGCAGATGGTGGAGGCACTGACGCCGGCCGCCCTCACCTGGTGAGGTTTTGCGGGACGTGACCCTCACCTGGTGAAGTTCTGCGGGACGTGGCCCGCGAAAGCCGGCAGCACAGGCGTGATGCCCAGCTGGCGCATCCGAGCGATGATCTGGTGCGCCAGGGTCAGCTGGCCCGCGTGCCACGCGTCCGAGAGAGGGCCCGCCCAGCGCTGCAGGTTGCCCATCCGGTTCCTGGAGGGGTGGCGCAGGTCACAGCCAGGTCAGAGACGGGTCAGAGCCAGGTCAGCTCAGGTCAGGTCAGACCCACAGGTGTCCCAAATCAGACTCAGGTCAGCCCAGGTCAGAGCCAGGTCACACCAGGTGAGATGCAGATCAAACCCGCAGGCGTCACAGGTCACATTATCCAGAAGTGTCCCAAGACGAGCTCTGTTTCGAAGGCTAGCAATTGCCACCGTTCTGAGTCCACCATCCGGGAGGCTGAGAAACCCGACACCACACGGGTCTCCGATTTCAGTTGCGTACCAATTACAGTGTGCGGTTACATAAACCGGCAACAGGCGTTCCATTGGCAAAGCGAGGACATGCGAAATGGGCCTTTGGGTGCATGTTTGTGCGACGTGCGTTGGAAAGAATGAAATGTTCTTGTAACAATGCAAATCTAATGTACAGCTTCGTAGCTAATTCCAGTTAGAGTAATAACTTTTCCCGTGGCGGCGCTTTTTTGCAACCAGATCTCATCCCAGAATGGCAAAAAAAAATCATCCGAAGTCCCCTGCAGACCTCTCCCAGCGTCAGGGCGCTCTCACCATGCGAGGAAGGCGGGCCCGGTGAAGAACTGGTCCACCTCGGCGGCCTCGAGGCCGATCTGCGTGAACACCCGCCTCCAGATGACCTCCTGGCCGGTGAAGGCCAGCGCCAGGTTGACGCCGTTGAGCGCCATCCAGTCTAGCTCGCGCTGCCAGCGGCCCCAGCCCCACCACACCGAACTGTAGCTGACGGTGCACACGTTCTGGTAGTACCGGAACCTGGGCCCCAACAGAAAACAGCGCTGGTTAAACGGAGAGCTGCTAGACACGCTGACATTGAGCATTAGCACATAAAAGGGACGTGGAATCGTCATGGGCTGCAGTGATGTGTCATTGCGTTTTTAAATATTATTCTAATTGAAGAAGCAAAAATATATGCATATACCTATAGCATATGTCATATGATCTTTACGACTTCGACTTGACAATCATCAGTCACTTTTTTCTTTCACAGTTATTTATAAACCATTCCTCCTTGTGATGAGTACTGACATTTAGCACAGCTGAAGTTAGTTCACACCCATCCCTAGACACGGTACTGTTTTCAAAAATATACAAGATATTGCAACAAAAATTACCCGACGTTTCGTTTATTATGACTTTTCTTAACCCGCGCCCCGTAGGGGGGGGGGGGCCGCTTGTCCTTTTCGGTCGATATCTCCTAAACGGCTGGAGATATCGCCACCACACTTTCAGGACCCCTCTGGGCATCAATTTTACACATTGTGACCAAAAATGTTTCCAGAGGCTATGATAGGTTGGCCACAAATGACGTCAGAGTGACGTCATGTTCTGTCATTTTCGACCGAAAAAAGACCTTCGCGGGAAGACCTGTCAGGACTACAGCTTTGAAGATACAGAAAAATGATCAGGACATAAAAGGTGTAGAATTGACAGGGCTACAAAACTGCTATCTCGAATGTTTGAAATGTTTGAGTTTTGACCTCCAAAAATAAAAAAAACATTTTTTTTTGGATATATTCGCCAAAAAACCCAGAAAGTTTTTTGAGTTTCGAAAAAAACCGGAATATATGTGATAGTGCCTACCGTCTTCTATCTACATACCAAATTTCAGATCGATACCTCGTTTTTTAGCCAAGTTATAGCGAAAAAACTGTTAAAAAATGATGACGTCAAATTTTAAAACTCAATTTTTGGCAATTCTAGAACTCGTAGAGCAAAACAAAGACCACCATTAGACTCCCCGTGACGAGCTGCATCGAATCGATACCCATTTTATGCATAAATATCAACTTTGAAATTTGACCTAATTTGACCTGACCTTGACCTGACCTTCACAAAAACGTGACCTAGGCTGGCCCCAAAGGCTGCCTAACCCACATAATCGCATTTGTCATGTAAAATCGACCATAAAACATGTATCACACGACACATTCATATTGTGACCCCCCGGTGACCTGACCTCGCTGTGACCTGACCTGGTATCAGTGACCTCAGATAGCAAAGTATGTGTTTGACGAACAATGTACCATCGATGGTTTTCAATAAATTACCAATTTACTCGCTTTCACAGCACATTTCTTGAATTGCCTGTGAACGGTGAAAATCTGACCTTTGACCTGACCTGTGACGTCATCGGTTTGACCTAGGTCAATGAAATTTGGTCACAAGGTAGTTCCTGGGTGGGGCTATCGAACGCCGTTTGAATTTTGAAAATCGGCCGGTAACTTTCCGAGATCTTAGGGGGGGGCCGAAACGGCCCCCCCCCCTACGGGTGGTAGGGTCCGCCGGTAGCCCTACGGGGCGCGGGTTAACTGTTTCTTAACTGTCCGTGTCAGCTCCGCACCCGCAATCGTTCACGTCACCTGCGCGGACGTCGTTAGCTGAGATGTAACTACGCACCATACACGCACCACGTCAGCACTGAACAAGGCACCCTTTCCGGCAGATGAACCTTGCCACAGCTGCATTAGAGGAAGCTAATCATTTGCTTTGTCACAGACGCTCTTATGCCTGTGTTCTGTGTCGAGCTCAGGTAGGCGTATGTGCTCGACGCAGGGATTATCAACGCCCTCGCAACACCGGAATCACGATACCGTATAGAGGTAGCTATGGCGACGATAGAACACATATACCCGAGCTGTCGTTACAAATCGCTGAGCAGGACTGCGTTACAAATCGCTGAGTCAGGCCACATCAATGCAGCTGTAACACACACAGACATGTGAGACGCGGTGATTGTCCTTCCCCGCTGATCGGCCTCATCTGGCCTGAAATTCGAGTACATTGACTGCAGGCCGTCGCAGTCTGAAGTAAAAAGCCTGGGTCGGAGTGAGCGACGTAAAGTAATCTTGTGAGCGACATACCGGGTCTTCACCCGGTACTTCACCGGATCACCAGACCTCCCAGACCGGCTCAGTGGCAAAATGAAAAACGCACAGCGTCAAACCCACTCGCGGGGTTTGAGAAATATATGATAGCGCTTGTAGCCCCCTGTGAAGTGTTTCGTGGTTTTCACGTTACGAATATAATGATTACATACTTGTCTCCAGATAGCATTTCAATTTGGCCTGCCGTAAACCATCACGCATAAACATTGCGAGCATTAACTCGTAACGATTATATGTTGTTACGCATATTACACCATGATCAAAATACATTGAGTAGAGTCGATTCGAGAGAATGAGCCGAGAGCGTGGACCCCAAGCTTGTGCGAGCGGCCAATCCAGGTTCCCTGTCTGTGTCTGAACGGAAGTCCCGAAGTAATACCTGCTTTCCTTTTCTGACGGTCCATAGGTAATCCATGCCAGGTAAGGTAAGGTATGTGAGGTCAAATATTAGGCGGTAAAATCAAATCGCAGACGGTAAGATCAGACAGCAGACAGCAAGACCAGATGTCAAGCAGTCAGCTCAGATGACCGAGAATGAGATGAGACGGTAGATGGTAAGATCAGATGAAGAGAAAGATCAGATGACAGACGATCATATCAACTGACAGACGGTAAGATCAAATCGTATAGGCAAGATCAGATAGCAGTATGTAAGATGAGATGACAGACGATCCAATCAGATCACAGACGGCAGATCAGATTATCATTTGATCATTTGACGGATATTAACCCGCGAGTTGCTGGGGGGGGGGGGGCGTTAAACGCCCCCACTTTTTTCGCCAGGCCGTAGCATAAAAACGGCGCGCCGCAGGCGCGCCAAATTTTCGATACCTGTAGGGAATTGATTGAAGTTTATTGTGACAAAGTTTCAAAAAAATCGGTCGGAAACTTTTTGAGATATCAAGGTTTTAGTGACGTCATGATTTCTGAGTTTTCGACCAAAAACGGCATATGTTCAAAAATTCATATAAAATCGCAGAATAGACATATAAACATGCCGTAAACGCCATTAGACTGCCAATACCATGAAGAATCAAATGGCTATCTTCGATTATTGATTATCGTTCCGCATTTTCCAAAATCTTGAACTGAATCCTGGCAATTTCTCGTGACTACTTCACGACCATGTTACATGAATTTCTTAAATTGAACTTTTTTAGCCAAACACGTACACATATGATAAAATGAATGTCACCATCGTGTTCTACGCCCCAAATTACCCATAAAACATGTGTCACAGGCTGCGAATATCAGTTTTTATTTTCGGGGATATGTGCCTGCCCGGTTGACCTGACCTTGACCCTGACCTATGCTTGACTGACCCCTGCATGGAGCTGACACTCTTGTAGGCCCTATATGATGGATTATGCACCGTTTTGACAGAGTTTATGACGAGAGGCGCCCATTGCGAAGTCCTGAAGTCCATGCTACTGAAAGCCCGATTTCAGGTGTTTGACCTGACCTTGACCTGACCTGTGACCTCAAAATTCAACTTTAAAGTACTCATCTGAAGCGTCTCGTCGCGTTCTTTCGTTTGCCGCCTCGTGCGTTTCGCTGCGCCTATTGGTTCTCGAGTTATCGGCTGGGGGCGTTTAACGCCCCTCCCCAGCAAACGGTGGGTGGCGAAATACCCCAGCAACTGCCGGGTTAAGATCAGATGACGGACGGTCCGATCAGGAGGCGGGCGCCCACCTGTCGTTGGCGCGGACGGTGGCGCTGAAATCCGGCAGCGGCCTGGGCAGCTCCAGCTGATCAGAGTCCCAGGACACGTGCGCCGCGCACCCGTACTTGAGGTAGTGGTGCAGGCCCCAGGAGGCGGCCACGCCCGTCGACGCCTCGATGTGCACGTGACCACTAGAGGCCCTCACCTACACGAGGAAACAGGAAGAGGTCAGGTCAGGTCAAATTCACACAGCGTATTAGTCATACACTGGGTAGGGAAATGGTGTGCAGCGTATACGCATACGCAAAATATTTAATTTCGTGGTCAGTTCCAGCCGACAGTATCTGTCTGGGACAGAGTACACGCCGAACTTATGCTGAAGAGTGCGTATCACAACAAAACCCTCATAAGATAGTCACGTGGGCCGCCCGACAATGTCCACAGCTCTGTTCCTTCTTGAGACGTTCCGCTATCGCGCACCAGCGAGCCACTATCGGTTGTTGCCACGCCGTGCGGGATACCCGACACTCCAGTCTGCGTGTGTCTGTACTGAGGCGCCGCCGAATGTACCGTGGAAGCGGCGGTGTCAAGTCGGTATTGGGGCGCAGAAAAGTAGGTACGTCTTTCCATCCAGCCTGGCCAGGGAACCATAGGCATTACCCATTCAAAGTCGCTGTGGTAGCGATACGATTACATATACTTCCGATCTAGCTTTGTACAAAAAAAAAACGTAGAAGTCATGTACACAATGCATCAAATAACGAGAGGAGCTAAGTAAGCTACCCTGCTATATCCCGTGCAATGGCAGCTGAGCGCAAATATGGCTGTAAGTGCCGGGTCGAGGACGTGTTCTCACCTACCAAACAGTCCCGCTCTTACCGTGAACAGGTCGCGACCTCGGCCTCACCGTGAACACTTGTACAGGTCACGACAGCCCTCACCGTGAACAAGTCACGACCACCCCTCACCGTGAACAGGTCTCGGCCGGCGCTGTCCAGCAGTTTGGCGCTGACGCTGAAGCTGAACTCGACGGCCCGGTCGGGGATGAGCCGGTAGACGAGCTCGCGCACCGCGGACTCCTGCTGCTGGTCGCTGGTGGATGGCCGCAGCTGGGGGTAGGAGAAGTCCGGCTCCGCTCCGCCACCGCCGGCGGACCAGTCAGCCAGCACGGAACCCACGTCAGACGCCAGCGCTTCTGAAAACGAGGCAGGGGATCCAGGAGACAGGAACGGACGGCGACCACCCTCCATCAGGCTCAATACGCTCTTATTGCACTGCGTGAGGGACTGAGTGGCTGCGTTCACTGGCGGATCCAGGCTTGCGTTTTTGGGGGGGGGGGGCAACTCATGCTGGAGCCAAACCTAGGGTACCCCCAAATCCTGTTTTCTCATCGGATTTAGGCCACTTATTTTTCGTCACAGCCCCGACACTATGATTTTTTTTTAACTAGAAAGAAAAATATATAAATGGTAGCCCACGCGACCCATGCCTTTATATTACTTTGTAAGCACTTACCATTGCTTTTGTCGACCAGTTAACCCGCTTCGAGTCAGTGCTTGGGTCCCTTTGCGGGCCGGGAGGTGGTAAAACACCCCCTGTCTAACTCGGCTCCTAGGCCACGCACTGATTGAACTATATTTCATTATCGTCTGGGGGAGGGGGCAAACGGGCCACTTTAGACCTCTGGGAAGGTGGCATGGCCCTAAATGCCCCCTCCCTGGATCCGCCAGTGTAAGAGACCATTGGAGCTGCAGTTGGGTACCTCAGACGTCAGGGTACGCCCTCAGATGTATAGGACTCGCATGGAGACCTCTTATGCTATAGTGGACTGAAAGGACCCAAAGGAGCCTGTCAAGGGCTCCCGGAGATAGACGTGGGGCCTCAGGAGCCCGCCAGAGCCCCCAATAAGGGATAAGTGAGGCATACCAAGTGCCTGCAATTGCATATTGCATAAGCCATAACGCCTTTACAAATCAATATATTATGTATCAGTGGCAGATCCAAGGGGGCCACATGGGTCATGACCCCCCTTGGTGCCCGGGAGCACCACAGACGTGTCAGGGGCACCACCGGCCTAGCAGGGGCACCACCAGCCCGCCAGGGGCACCACAGGCCTAGCAAGTAGCAAGGGCACCACGGGCCTGTGAGGGGCCCCACAGGCTTGTCAGGGGCACCCCAGGTCTGTCAGGGACACCAGAGACCTGCCAGGGGCACCGCCGGCCTCGCAGGGGCACCATGGGCCTGTCAAAGGGGAACCAGAGACCTAGTAGGGATACCACAGGCCTTACAGGGGCACCACCGGCCCTACAGGGGCACCTTGGGCCTGTCAGGGGCATCACAGTCCTGTCAGGGCCCAGGGGCACCAGCGGCCTAGCAGGGGCACCACAGGCCTGCCAGGGGTACCACCGGTCTAGCAGGGGCACCACCGGCCTCGCAGGGGCACCATGGGCTTCTCAGGGGCCCCACCGGCCTCGCAGTGGCACCACCGGCCTCGCAGGGGCACCACCGGCCTCGCAGGCATCACGGCATCACGCAGGTCGCAGGGGCACCTTGGGCCTGTCGGGGGCATCACGGGCCTGTTGGGGGCACTTAAGGCTTGTCAGGGGCACCACAGTCCTGTCAGGTCCCAGGGGCATCAGCAGCCTAGCAGGGGCACCCAAGGCCCGCCAGAGGCACCACAGGCCTGCCAGGGTCCAGGGGCACCACAGGCCTAGCAAGGGCACCACGGGCCTGTCAGGGGCACCTCAGGCTCCCGTGCTACCCCCCCCCCGGATCCGCCAGTGATGCCAAACCACGCGAAACACCGCCAACTACCTGCTGCCGCGCCATAAACACGTGCCAACAACAGTCTTTTTTTGAAGGTCGACTCCGCTCGCGCAACTTTTGACTGACCCTCACTGCTACCATATTGCTTCCATATTATGCTGTGGAAACTTTACTTCACCAAGTGGCTAAAAACCTCCATCAAGGTATATTTTCTTAAAAAAAATTTCTGACGTTTTGGGGGGGGGGGCCAAACAGGCCACTTTAGGCCTTGGGGGGGGGGGCATGGCCCCCGTGGCCCCCCCCCTGGATCCGCCAGTGGCTGCGTTGAGTTGGTGACAGTGACCAACTCACTGCAGTGAGTTGGTCACTTGACCAACTCACTGCAGTGAGTTGGTCACTTTCGGTGAGCAGGTCCGCGGACTAGGGCGACACTCAAGACTTTGGGTCTGCCATCCGCGCTCCACACCGACGCGGGTCGCTCACGGTGCCCACCGTGGCCTGGCACAGTTTGGTACAGCTTGTTATGGTGCAGTTATGCCTTATGATACAGTTCGTTTTCTGGTTGCCTATGACTGTGCCAACAACGTGCCAACAACAAGTGCTGTTGCGTACCGTCATCCAACGTGCGCTTGCTATGATGAGTTGTGCATCGTTTTGAGTGTAATTGAGTGTAATAAAAGTTTGAGTGAAAAAACTAATTGCAGTGTGTTGCTCATTTGCGAGAAGCAATATTAAACAGATTCATTAACCTGGGACTACTTATATATCTCTAAGTACATGCAAGATATAATGAAATAATACCGCCACGATTTTACCTGAACTAAATTTAGCTAAACATACCGTCTCAACTTAATTCACCGGCATGAATATGTAAAGCGTTTTCCAAGTTACTACACTTATATCAGGCATAGTTTCACATTTCGCTCCCGCTCCACCACTCACCGTCGGTGTTAATGTGACCAATCGGAGGGAGTCGCACCCCGATCACGAACGGAGTCACGTGCAGCCAGAGCACAGCCCGTAAAAGAAAACCGACATTTCGACTTCCGAGAACCATGGTGCAGATCTCGCTGGGCTGCGGAACAGAAATATGAAACGCTGCTGGTAAATAAAGAACAAAACCATTCTTTCCCTCCTATCACATGTACTCGTATGTGTTGGCTGTGTAGTTACGTAGTACCTACTGAGGGTTGACCCTCGCGGGCGCCATAGCAAGTCTGTCATCCTCGGCTGACTTAAAGGGACTGTCCCACCTTTGCATTAGTTCTGAGTTGAGATAGCCAAGTTGGCGGCCAGGTTCAGAAACCACTATATATCCTGGTCGCAATATCCTCAGTTTCGTGGTGTTAAAGAAATTCGTTCCCTTCATTTGAAAAGTGGGTCTTAGCTAAGGCCCTATCTCTTAACTATTAACGGCCATTTGATGACGTCATTTGCATTTTGAACGCCTGTCACGCATGTGAAGTTTCACTTGATTTACGAATAAGCTAATCAGAGACACTTGTTATTGTATGAGCCGCGTCATATTTGAGAGCAAATACCTATATTTGCTGCCAAATTTCCCCCACATTGACATGAAGTAAATCCTTCATTACGTCACAGATCCGATCTAAATGACGTCACGATGAAATATAAAAGTCGCAATATCTCAAAAAGTATACAATGAAAACGCGTAACAACTTGCAGAATTCGTCACAATATCATGAGTAACATTTCCGAATCCTAAATGGTACTTTTTTGAAGGTGGGATAGTCCCTTTAACCCGCGCGGGGCTGGGGTCTCCAGCCGAACACGCGGGGCTGGGGGGGGGGGGTAAATTTTACCCCCCCCCCCTGTTATCTCCCGAACTAATGGTCAGATTTGGAAAATTCAAACGCCAATCGAAAGATCTCATCACGAACAACTAAAACATGTACTTAATTTAAAATTTGAGGTCAAGGTCAAGGTCAGGTCAAGGATACAAATTGCAAGTTCCTACAGTATCGGCCTTGCACCGTAGTTGCCGAAGAATGGAGTCATGGACTGAGACTGATTGCCCAAAACGTGTTCTTAGGCTACCAAGACAATATTCGTTGCATACAATATCATTCAGAGGTCAAGGTCAAGGTCAGGTCAGGTCAGGTCACCAAAAACAAAATATAGAAAAGGGCATGTGCAACACATGTTTTATGGGTCATTTTACTCACAGAATTCAATAGGCACACTCAATAAGTGATATGGACCACCTCTGGATGAATTTCAGGTCGAGGTCAGGTCAAGGTCAGGTCAAGTGAGGTCAAATTTTAAAGTTGGCTCTTAAGGCCTAAAAATGTGTCTATCTGATGCAGTTTTTCACGCCGAATCGAATGGTGCTATTTTTATTTCCGTATGAGGTCTAGAACTTCCATAAAAATCATTTGTCATTTTTTTGTGACGTGACGTCATAAAATGTTTAATAACTCCCACATTTTGAACCGATTCTTCTAAAAATTGGTATGTAGGTGCACATAGACCACTTCTCTGACATATATTCCGTTTTTTTTGTACACCAAACATTTTGGATTTTATAATTATTTTCCCAAAAAAGTCAGTTTTTGGAGAAAAAAAAATTGAGCCAAAATTCAAAATTTTCAAAAAAAAAAACGAGATAGCCATTTGATCGACAAAGTAGAATTACGTATAACCTTTTTTGTTACGTCTTGATTCCTTTAAAAATGAAGATGTTAGCGGCGTTTGAAATTTTGCTGTTTCTGAGGCGAAAATGGCAAACATGACGTCAGTAAAACGTCAATTTCTCAAAAACTTCCCGACGGATTTCGCTCAAATTTTCAGGGAACGTGTCAAATTGATGTAAGAAAAGGTACTGAAAGTTGCGCCGCCGTGTTTGAGATATTGCAAAAATTCGCGAGGGGGGTAAAATTTACCCCCTCCCCCCAGCCCCGCGCTGGTTAACGATGCCGTAGTTCGTGAACTATGCACGTGTTAGAAGCTGGCGCGATAAATCAACCGAAAGCTCATTGAAAGGCCTTTCTGCGTCATGTCATCATATTCAGTCTCAGGCTAATAACGTGACCTACAGAAGTAGTGACAAAGCAAAAGTAAAAATACGTGGCAGTGTGCATGTTTGCAGTTTGAGGCCAAACTCGTCGCCTACGGCTAGCCGCTCGATTCAATGAGTCAAGTGTGTATTTAGGCATATTGCGATCTAGTGACGCACGGTGATGGCCGAGAGCTGGATCTGTAGAATTACAGAGAAGACGTTCTGCTCAGACATGAGCTATAGAAGTACAGAGGCGACATCCCGCTCAAGTCTGGAGTTATATCATCGCAGAGCCGACGTTCCACTCAGATCTGTAGCTACACAATGGCAGAGGTGACGTCCCGCTTAAACCTGGAGTTATAGAACTACAGAGGTGATGTCCCGCTCAAACCTGGAGTTATAGAACTACAGAGGTGATGTCCCGCTCAAACCTGGAGTTAAAGAACTACAGAGGGGTGATGTCCCGCTCAAACCTGGAGTTATAGAACTACAGAGGTGATGTCCCGCTCAAACCTGGAGTTATGGAACTACAGAGGTGATGTCCCGCTCAAACCTGGAGTTAAAGAACTACAGAGGGGTGATGTCCCGCTCAAACCTGGAGTTATAGAACTACAGAGGTGATGTCCCGCTCAAACCTGGAGTTAAAGAACTACAGAGGGGTGATGTCCCGCTCAAACCTGGAGTTATAGAACTACAGAGGTGATTTCCCGTTCAGACGCAGCGCCCATCTGATACCGAGCCGGCAGTTCGAGGAACAAACTGCATCTAAAGATCCGGTCACAAAGGCAACGATCGTGGAACACACTGCACCTAAAGATCCAGTTACAAAGACAAAAACTCAGCCGCTGCATTTGCCAAAGCATTGATGTCCAGTGTGCACCTGTCAACATCAGTACCTAACTTGTTATCAGTGTTATAATTGAATGCGTCTTTGTTCTGCGTACGTCTGCGAGCTGTATGCCTACGTAGGTAGGGACTGTTTTTACTATATTACGTGAATCATTGGTGATGCATTATAGTCGCTTTATGGATTACGGAATCTGAAACGTAAATAAAGCTTGCTAATGCTTATGTAGCTAACTAATCTCGTGCTGAAACTGAATTAAGTGTTATTTTTTACAACCTTTTTCCGTTCTATAGCTCTAAGAACGTTTACCACTGCCGCATCTCTCCTAAGCATGAAACCGTATAAGACCAAGACCAGTGTCCACAGGGGGGGTTCATCGCCATAGGGACACACGTACAAGGAAATTGCTACCAAATGCTGCCAATGTGACGTCACTGGGATGCTCGAAAGCTGATTGGTCGCTGAGATTCGAGTAATGTAGTCAATTCTGGCGCACCGGCGCAGTGTTTTCCGACCGTTGCGTGTTATTACTTTGGTTGCTATGCAAAGTTTTAATATGTTTGTTTAATAATATAAACACATTTTCATGTGTTTGAAGGTCGCAAAAGCTTAACATAAGTGGCAACCACACTTTGTATTACGTTTCGTCTCATATATCATGAAGAACAACCAAGTATTTCAAGGTGGGAACATCCTGAGGAACCTCAACCAAGGTATTCATTTTGCAACGGATCTTAACATAATCTGGCGTTTTTTAAAGTTTCCATTTTTGCAATTAACCCTCGCACGACCAGGCCATTTCTCATAACACGAACGACCAGGGGGGGGGGTTGTTACGACCCCCCCTGGCGTTTCGAAACGGAAGGTCGTAGAGCTTAGCGGAAAAAACCAACGGATTGCTCTCAACGAGATCTCGCGATTGGTGGTATATTTTTTGGTCCTAGGTCAACATTTGACCTACTTTTGACCGGTCAAAAGTCAAATTTTCGGAAAAATAGACTTTTTTTCAACTTTCGGCGGCGATTGCGGCAAAACGGTGGGAGATATCGACTTGAAACCTTCACTATCGTGTTCCTTGATCAATTCTCTATCGTTTGGTATGTATTTCGTTTCCCTAGCTCTAAAAATGGCGCGTTGGGAGCGCCGGAAGTCGGCAAGGTCACAGTCGGCGGCAGAAATTCGAAAAATCAAAATTTAAATTTTTGAAATCTGATTGTATTTTTGGATTTGGGAGGTCCATTTGCTCCCTATAGAAGCTAATATTGCTGCATATTCCCATTGAGGTGACAAGAATTAGCAAAATAGTGGTTCGGGCGCTCTTCAAAAATAGTACCGGACGCTGTTCCTCTTGTGACGTCATAGCTCCGTGACCTGACCTGACCCGGTCAAATTTCTTATACCATATGATAGCCAATACTTGCCCCAACATGCATGGGAAGTTTCATCACGATCCATCAACCGATGTCCGTACCACCGGCAGGAAACCTCGGGCGTTGGCACTCAGTTTGTGAAAATCCGGCCGGAGGCTGTACCTCTTATGACGTCATAACTCCGTGACCTGACATGACCCGATCAATTTTTTTCGGCAAAAGATGCGCAAAGGTTGCCCCAGAGATTGTTGAAAATTTCAGCCCGCTACGACAAGCCGTTTAGCGTGCACTTCGAAAAAACCTCAGGGGGGGGGGGGGTTGATACAACCCCCCCCCCCTAGGCGTTCTAGGGTTAAGCTGGTAGGTAATAATTTTTCAGTGCTCGCAGTGCGCATAAGTACCTTGACCGAACATGATACGCTCAACAAATAAAATGTTTAGAGAAAGCACGCAATGTAAACAAACTAGTGCTACAATGGCAAATTGAAATATAAATGAGCTCTTTAGGTACTTTTTATCATTAAAATTTCAATTGTATATAGTATGGTCACATACTGTGGGCTGGGTTCATCTCAGTCACGTTGCAATGTTATCAGAGCTGTAAAAATGAAAACAAATGTTTTTGCATGGTAGGGGAAGGTGGGGTAAGACGGCCCAGCGGGGCAAGACGGACCACCAGCCCTCCCGGCTGAACCGCTGCTGGTATCTACTGCTTTATGCACTCACTATGTTTGTTTTCCTTCGTAACAATGGCCACCTTGAGCTCATGCTGCTAGGATGCATAGCTTTTGAGTTATTGAGAAAAATGTTGTTTTTCGTCAAACCAATCTAATATAAGA